GGGATTCGAGGGAAAGGGTTCATGCAATAGCCCCTCCCACAGACAATGCCGACATCGGACAATTCGCTTCGGAATTCCCTCCGATCGTCTGTCTTTGTCGATCATAATAACCTTGCTCAACCTAAACAATGTGCTTACAACTCTGATAGTGCTGTTTGTTGATGGCCGCCTGACGTTTTGGGCATTTGGGCCCCGTGCTTAACAAACTTTATTTTTTTTCAATGACAAATACGAACGGTGTCATTGACTGCTGATGAATACAGATTAGTCCCGCCCAACAGAGCCCAGCCATCGCGGAAGCAGTCCTAATAAATCCACAACTTACAGCACTTGTCACCTCATAGTAAGCATCAGGGCACCGTTTGTCCAATAGTCGCCGTCTCGTTGCGTGCCACACTCAGGAGGAACGCGTTGCCACCTAGGGCTGTACTCGTATATCTCAAGGTCACCTCTTCACTGCGCTCCTACATAGTAACATATAACCAAGCAGACCATATAGACCATGGGCCGCAAGAGAAACTGGTTCCACCGAAGGCCAGAACTACTTGAGGCGCGCTAATTTATTTACGTTGCCAATGAGGGTGCATTACTTTATAACCCCGCTCATGCTACACGGCTATCTCATAATTCACTGTTATTTTGACCTCGTGAATAAATCGGAACGGCGAATGTGAGGCCACGACAGGTGGAGACACGAGAATGCGTGCAGCCAGGACCGGTAACACAATGAGGAAACAGAGGCGGATGAGAATAGGGAGGAACGATTTTGGAGAGCTCGGCGTTGTAATCAAAATTAACACAACGACGCACCTATGTGAATGTAGAATCTCCACGCTCTGCCTCTGTATTCGTGTAGATGTGAGAGATATGCAGTGTCTCTATGTTGTCTGCCATTCACAGCAGTGGGCCTGTCAACCAGCGGTTTGACATTTAATTTTACCGCCATAATCATTCATAACAAAATTCCAATTACGAACGTATTCTCTGAATGAATTTCGTTGTTGTATGGTTCTCGATTATCCTGAATCACGCTGTCAAGCAATTACGGGTTCGAGGTGAGGGTGACTCATATATTATCTGTATCTGTTGGCATATCGCAAGCCCCTGCAAGCATGTGGCCTTTTAAAGTCATGTTGGTTCCGCCGGAAGGTGATGGATTTTTCTATTATGCGGCAAATCTTATGATTTCACCTCCGCGCATGTGGGTTGCGGCATGTGAGCGCTGTGAATGGGCCGGCTCTCCGTGTGACGCACGGCCCACGCTGCACATTCATTGTGCGCTTTGGCCACTGACGGTGCCGGCTGTCAATGCCACGCAGAATGAGGCTGTGCAAGATGAAGAGGCTCTTTTATCCAACGCCCCCCTTCAATCAGATCCCTTTGTCGAATTTTTTTTCGGCGGTACAAAATTGCGGACACTTCCTATCTCTGATAGTGCTGTTTTTTGCTGGCCGTTTAATGTTTCAGACCTTCGGCCTGTACTCAGCAATTGTGTAAACATTTTTAGGAATTATTTAAATTGGCAAACAGCAAAACATGAGCAGATCAAAATGAGAGTGCTTAGATAGGATTACGCGGTGATAATATTAGAACAAAAATCTCACCTGATGGATGCTGTTTTTTGTCATGGAAATCTTCACTGGAGACAAAGTAAAATTATATTAATGGGCTCTTACTGGGAGTGGTGCTTACACCACATTTAATGCCAAGGAGCAATCATTCACTTGGGAGCATTGCGGGTGGCCTGATGAGTAGCGAGTGTCATCATTAGCAAAATCGAATCCTCAACTAAAAGTGGAAAACAATGAGAAGGGACCCAAAACAATGAGAAGGGCCCAATACTGAGATGTAACCGGTTAATTCAAATTAGCAACTGGGTTTTATACTCCCACTCATAATAGAGGACGATCTTGACCTTTTGTCCAACTTAGCCCTCTTAACAAAATACTGAGTTTTACAAAGACACCGGGGCCTGATTAAAATAGTATTTGTATTTAACACCTTTGCGGAATTACCACAACGTCTAGGATTTGGCTCAAGTTGCCACGCTCAATCGGTGGGGGCCTGTTCCATGCAAAACTCCACAGCCAATCGGTAGCCGGGGGAGTGCCGATAGTAATTGGGGTGAGTGCGATGGCCTCCTTGGCTTTGTCCCCGCGACGATGAGGAGGGCGTGTTTAGGGTTGTCTCCGCGGTGTGAGCCGCCTTTGCGCGTGATTCCACACGTGGAGAGTGGCTGCGAGTGGGGGTGGCGTTGGGGAGGAGGCGTCGTGCAGCTGAGGATGAGCTGCGAGGTGTCCCGAGCAAGAGGGGCTAATAGGGAGTGAAGCGTGAAGGTCGCGAATGCTCCGCACACAAAGGTTGCCAATGTGATGAGAGAACGGTTCAATGAGCATTTCATTTTGCCGTGCGTTCAAAATTCGCGGGTCAGCCTCTCCAGATATTAGCAACGCTTGTCTGTGTACCAACTGGGATAGGCCATTTTGGATTCTACTTGCACCATCCCCACAATTAGTCAAACTGCAGCAAGATCCCAGAGTATTTTCACGCTGGTTAATTAACGTTGCAGCATTGTTTTGGAACGGAATTCACTGTTGTTACACATTATGTCGATGCTGGCACGAAGCCTCGTGCAGGTGAATAGTGACACTTGTGCTCCGTGAGCAATGAGGTGGCGTCGCTAATTCAAAGCTTCATCCCCATGACGGATTAAGAACGGCGGGGAGGAGACGTGGATTGTAGTTGCAGGATGAGAAGCAAGAGGCAGTGACGGTGCGATTTAATCCATGCATTGATGATGTCAACCCTTGCATTCTCCACGCTGACATTTATATTTAGCATTGTGACGTAAAAAAACCCTTCCTCTTCATTATTAGGTGAGGAATTCGTCTCGCCAATTCCAGTCTCAGATTTCCTGCCGACATGTAATGTCATGTATAGAGGTTAGCGAGTGAGGCCTCTTCTGGATTGTGACAAGAGCGGTGTGGGGTGTGGGGTAAGGTGTTGGCGGGAGGCCTCAGGGTGATGATTTCAGCCCAGTGGCCAGAGAATGGCCCAAGCCTGGCGGCGAACTCGGCACACTTCGTCACTACCACGTCACTAGCACGTCACTACCACGTCACTAGCACGTCACTACCACGCACGGGGCCTCCCGTTCAAACTTCGCCGCCACCCTTGGTGGCTGATGCGGGGCTGTCACCAAAGAGACTCGCTGCCTGCTGCATAGTGGGCGTGAACAAAAAACAAACAAATGTATTTTGTACAGCATCATTCATGCCGATGGTGCTGAGCGTCTTGTATAGTTGGCTGTGAAAATTGTTCTTCAAATGATCAGAGTGAGCTGAAACAATAGTAATTGGTATGCTAGGTTCTTGTACACATGCCATTTAATTTATTTGTCTATGTCTGCTGGTGGAGGGTCTGAATGAAATAAATCTGGCTAGACCATTTCGTGGTTTTTCCCAAATGTCAATTATTATCTTTATCAGAGTTGGAAGCTCTTGTTTTTCTTGGTCCAATTTCCACTTCAAATGCTGTTTGGTGCTACATTGCGGCCGGTATAGACGCCAGTAAGTCATAGGTATGATGTGTGGCAGATGAAGCGATGGAGAGAGAGCGTGCGATAGGAAGAGAGAGCGAGCTAGAGGACGAGGGAAGATGGACACGAGAGCCCCCCTGTGTGGCCATGGCCCCGGGACGGGGGGAGCAGAGTTCCTCTCCCCACTGCCAGTGCTCGGCTCAATGGCCGAGGTCAATTTGAATCCTCACAAAGCCTCACCGCTCTTTCCGTGAGGCCGTGCGTCGATGGGAGAATGGGCGATATCGGAAATTGAATTTTCGGCACAATCGCGTGTACCCTTTGTGAAGGACGAAATTTAAAGAGCTGATCTCCACTCGAAATTATTTTTGAGAGTTTGGCACACCAATTAAAATGTGCAATCAATCACTGCTGCATTATAAAACGTATTTTCATAAGCTTTGTTATAATATTAATCAATTTCCCTTTTTAATGCAGTGCGGTTTATCGCAATTTGTTTTGCCAGCTGAAGGTTCATTGACAAATTTTCCCCGAGTCATGGAGAGAGGAATAATTGCATTTACACAAGAAAATTTATATATTTAACAGTTGTGGATAATTTTAAACCATCCAATTTTCTTCACATTTACATTCTAAATGGACCAACACCGACATAAAATATGAATTAACAACTGGCATTTACTCTGAAACGGCATAAAAATTTTTTTTAAATGCCCCGCTTCTGCAATTGAGTCATGAAAGCTGCGAGTGCAGGGGTGGTGGTCCCTGCGTGATTGAGGTGGGAACGTGACCGTCCCCTTGATATTGCCATGGCTCGATAAAATCAGCACCACTTTGTCGTGGAGAAGGCAACAGTGGCTGTCCTATGGAGAGACTCGCCCCCACCATAATAATGTGGAGTTTCCACCACTGGCTCGAGGTTGTAACAAGGAAATGAGCACCAATTCCTCATTGGCCATCTGAGAACTTTGCCTTGTTGAGTTCAGGTGTCTATAGTACACACGTACACACCTGTAGTAGACATGCACACACCTGTAGTAGACCTGCACACACCTGTAGTACACATGTACACACCTGTAGTAGACCTGCACACACCTGTAGTACACATGTACACACCTGTAGTAGACCTGCACACACCTGTAGTACACATGCACACACCTGTAGTAGACATGTACACACGTACACACCTGTAGTACACCTGTACACACCTGCACACGTCCTGCTGTACAGGTCCCATTACTGGGCGGGATTCGTTTTAAGTTGTTTCACACTCGAGCTCTACGGTTCAACTCTAATGCAGGTAACTTGGTGGAACTTTGTTGCCTTCTGTAACTGCCACGCAAAAGGCCACATCAGACACGACAACTCGGGCGCTGCTCTGCGTGCGGGAGCACGCGCCGCACGGCGTGCGAGAGAAGGCGTTGACACGTTCTCCCCTCCGCCCCCGCACCGTGCCTTGCAGATCGGAGTGACCACTGCACTCTGCCAGTGGGGACCAGGCGCACGATGGCCATCCATTTACAGACACCCGCGACAAATAATTAAAACTCATTTCACTTGATAACCATTGATAAAGTCAATACAATCCAAGCCAGAGCCGATTCGTGATTTTGGGTGCCCAGAGGCTAATCCTGCTCCGAAAGCGGTGCCGACCATTCCCGATGGACACGGAGCAGTGCGAGACGAGCGACGCGATGGCCATGCCGGCGGACACCGCGGGCAACGACTCCTGCCGTCGCGACGACGAACCCTCGCATCCGAGGGACCACGAGGAGGAGCCCGGGCCACCGGCCGATGACGTGGACATGAAGAGCAACGGCTCGCAGGGTGAGCGGCGACGCGGCCTAGCGCACGATTGCGGCCTAGCGCACAATTGCGGCCTCTCTCTCCCGCCACGTCCCCACGCTTCGACCGCCGGCGTCCGCTCACCGAACGCTTCTTTTCTTCCTGTCCCGCGCAGGGAACGACTCGAGCGGGAACGACGAGCTCAACGGCAGCGAGTCGAACGGTACGGGCTCGCACGACGGCGCGTCGCGCGGCGCCGGCTCCAGCGGCCGCTCGAGGGGCAGCGGCAAGGACTCGGCGCTGATGCTGCTCACGTCCGAAAGCAACAAGAGGTGAGGCCGTGTCGGAGACACCGGGAAGCGGGGGGAGGCGGTGGGAAGCGAGCACGCACCGGTCGGCCACCGAGGCCGGAACCCCTCGTGAGGCAATTTGATTTATTTAAAAAAATGTAACGGTTGTTTTTGTCAATTCCACATCATTATTCCAGTTTCATCAGTAGGGACTGCAGTTATTCTCTAACTTAGAAATCGGTGCCAAGCAGATGGCGCTTTCCAGCACCGCTTTGCAATTTAACAGGAAGACTTTATACTGCCTGCAAACCGCAGTGCGCTGCAAAACTATTGCAGCGCCTGACGGTCGGCAAAGGTGCCAACAGTTTTTTCCCAGCGGTGGGTAGAAAATGGCTGCTAATGGTGTGCACGTGTTTTCTTTTCTCCAGCTCAAATTCCCAGAGCCCGTCTCCTCCAAGCAGCTCCAATGCCTTCAGTCTCCTGAGCAGCTCCGAGCAAGACCACCCATCCACATCCGGTTGCAGGTGAGCTCGTCCCTCAGCCAGCTGACCGAGTAAGCCAGTCAAGTCGGTCAGTTGGTCATCTAGTCTAGGCCGACCATTCCCTCGTCGCCGTTGCGCTGACCCACGTCCGTGCGTGCGTTTGTGCTGAGCAGCAGTGAGCAGTCGATGAAGGCCAAGACACAGAAGGCCCTGCTCAAGACACTCAAGGACCTGAAGGCCCGGCTGCCGCCTGAGCGACGCGTCAAGGGCAAGTCGTCAACGCTGGCGACGCTGCAGTACGCGGTCTCGTGCATCAAGCAGATCCGAGGTGAGCAATCGCATTGCCCACCCGACCGGTCGCCCGCCCGCTCGCCCACCCGCGGATGTTTTACGTACGTGGCCCGGCGGTGGTGCATTCACCACCGCTCGTTGTGCCCCGGCCAAAACCGTGCGCTGCGTGTGACGCGCTGCCATTAAAATGCCCACCCTGGTGCCCATCCTATCCCCCGTGGTGCAGCCAACGAGGAGTACTACCAGCTGTGGACGGTGGATGATGGCAAAACGGCGACGCTCGACATCGGCACCTATACCATGGAGGAGCTGGAGACGATCACCTCTGAGTACACACCCAAAAGCACCGTGAGTTTCTTCTCCTTCTTATGGCTCACTCTCTCATAACCACACCTCCCCACCTGTTCACTCATAACCACACCTCCCCACCTGCTCACTCATAACCACACCTCATCACCTGTTCACTCATAACCACACCTCCCCACCTGTTCACTCATAACCACACCTCCCCACCTGTTCACTCATAATCACACCTCCCCACCTGCTCACTCATAACCACACCTCATCACCGCACACAGCAAATGGTTCAAGAACTTTCCAAGATGGCTGCAAAGTTTGGGTCCAAGACGAACATAGATTGTCCAGCGACCCTACACGGGGTTCCCTATTACCGCCCCCCCCCCCTGCACTGCCATTGTTGCCACCGTTGACGCCGAGCTCTGCCGACGCCCGTGGCCCACAGGACACTTTTGCGATGGTGGTGTCGCTCATCTCGGGCCGCATGATGTTCTCGTCGGAGCACACGGCCTGGACGCTCGGTTGTCGAAAGGAGCTGCTGTCCGACGTGAAGTTCGTGGAGATGCTGGCGCCGCAGGACGTGAGCGTCTTCTACAGCGCCACAGCGCCGGGGAAGCTCCCGCCGTGGGGCAGCATGCACGAGGCCGGTAAGGCGACGCGCGCTCCGCCGCCCCCCTGCCGCTAATCCCCGCCGCCCCCTCCGTGTCTCGCTGCGCCCGTCTGCCTGCCCCTTCCTCCGACCGATGGGCCGCCCGCGGGCATGGCGGGCGGTCGAGGCGGCTGCCCGGCATGCGCAGCCACGAGGGACACAGTAACGCATCGGGTCAAAAGACGCAGATTTAGCATGACGCTCCGGGTGCGTCGCACTCGATGCGGATAGCGAGCAATGCGGTGGGTAACAAATGAAGGAAGGAGGCACTCTCCCAGATGGTGACTTAACAGGGGTACTTCGATAGGGCCCGGGCCCACCTCTCTACGGCTTCTGTTGTGCTCACTCTGACATCACGATCCGTGCATTGACCGTATTTCGCTGTGGCGAGGTGCCCAGACATTTGACCCTGATCGTCGCGTGGTGCTGCAATGTCGCGAGGTGAGATCCTCGGCAAGGCTAACCTCGTGGTCTCATCCACAGCCACTGCTGCGTTTGAATATCCCCAGGAGAAGCCGTTCTTTTGCCGAATCCGGTGAGACCCACTTCCCACTCGTTATTTTATAAGTTACTGTGAGTGTTCTTTTCATGTTTGAAAACAAAACAAATAAAACAAGATGATGATACAGATGTTGTTGATGAAGACGCGGATGATGATGATGATGATGACGTGTGCTCGCCACTCCTGTGCAGGGGGGGAGGCAGTAAGGACGAGGCGGTGTACCTGCCGTTCCGGCTCACCCCGTACCTCATGAAGGTTCGCGAGGGCGAAGACGGCGCCGACGCGGGTGGGGAGCCATGCTGCCTGGTGCTCGCCGAGCGCGTGCACTCGGGCTACGAAGGTGAGAGTGCAGTGCCGTCTCTACTCCTCACGTACTTACGGTGCAACCAATGTACAACTACAATGCACAGACACGACAACCACTGCTGTTCAACACCAAGCGACCAGTAGCATCCGTCACGAGCCTCTTCCACAGAGGGTAATCTTGACACTGCTGGTACCGGCCATCGGCAAGTCCACTCGGCTCCACATCCTCATCCTCCTGTACTGCATCGGTTCATCTTTCTCTAGCCCATGCCGCACCCATTTAGCCCCCTCTATATCTGGCCAAACAGAAGCTGTTTGGGCATGTGGCGGCTAGGCACGCGGGCTACGTGACTCAGCTAATGCAGCCTCACCTGCTGGAGGAGCTTGTTGATGGGACTGTGTTCAGATCTTTCAAGGATCTGTGAGCTCGAACAATCCAGTCTGGTGAAACCCAGGATGGAACATAAGCAAGTGAGCCTACACATGTCAAGGCAGTGCATATGTTCCATTAAAGAAGTCCACATTTTACAACCTTAGAGAAGAGAAGGAATAAATGTGGCCGAAAAGACCCGGAGCCTCATGTAAAGTGGCAGGGCCAGACGACTTCAACAAAACCTAACACAGCCAATTAGCCAATAGTGCCACTCAACTGCTTTGAAGTGAGACCTCCAATGCCAAACTGGAGCTGGCCCTGATCACACTGCCCAAGTACAAGAACTCCACCACCCTCTCCACAACCGCCCATGCAGATAGCCCGTTCACGTGTCCGCCTGTGTCTTGTCCTTGCGGCGTCTATCCTGTGTCTGGTGTATAGAACAAGTGCGCTGGCTAGGAGTATCCGAAACGCTCTTAAACGTACAAATCAAGAGTAAGTGGAAATATGCGATGTATTGTTACAGTTCGCTGAAGTTCGCCTGTGCAATGCACGCTAAGCAATGGAATTCGCTACGATTGTTGAGATTTTTTACGGACACAAGTCCCGAATGGCTTTTTCTTTTAGTGATTGCACGATTTTTTTGGACATCATTGGCGTATGTCATGTGACATCATCCATGATGTAACCAAGTACTTCTTTTGGGATGGACATGAGAGAAATCGAAATTTCAACTTTCGCTGTTGTAAAATCTTCTCCCATTCAGGCAAATGCAACGGCGGCAAATCAACAACAAAAATTACTCGATTTAAAAAGGTCCGGCCACTTCTTGGAACCCGCTGATGGAGTGCATACGTTCTCTCCCACTGACTGCTTGTAGCGTCGGACCGAATAGGAGAGTCATGACCGGTCTTTTCAGAGGTCATACCTTAGAATATATGAATGTGCTGGCCCCTCCTCCACTGATCAAATGAACGAGCGCATGAGTGCGATGTTCAGCTTGTGATGACCGACGCGCAGGTGTTTATCCACAACACCAAACAAAAACGGCTGCAGCTCTCTCCTCTACAGCCTCCCCACTCCGCTCGCCTCCGAATTCCACACGATTCACACTCGGCATCTTCTAGATCCTCTGTGGAACTTGCCCCTTCCTACCTCTCCCTTCTCATCTCACGCTACTCCTCTCCATACATTCTCTTCTCCAGCAACCAAGGCGAAGCCCCCCGTAAACATCCACTCATTCTGTGCTGCCCCCACCGTCTGATTTTCCCTTCCCTCAGCCACGTGTGCTGTTGTCTCCCTGCCCTTGTTGAAGTCCAGTCACTTATTTATCTCTTGTGCATTTCACTGACTGCTTCTTTGTATTCGTAAAATAAATGTGCTCACTGTTGCTGTTCAGCGGCTTGGGATGTTAGCAAGATTGTTGGCAAGATCTGGTACTGGTATTATGTTGAGCTTTATCACAGTTGTGATGCTAAATCTAACGAAGACAGCTGCTTGAGCAGTGGTCCCATAGAGACCTTTCCACAGGGTATAACGGAGCTGCTATGGCATAACGGTCCACACACTGGACTTCCATTCCATCTCCCGAGGCGGCAGTTGAAACAATGGGGCAAGTTTCTTAAACCCCCCCAACCACCCACCACCACCGTCCACCCAGCAATGTAAATGGGTATGGCACAGCCGATCGGGAGGACCCGTGTCGTGGGGTCAAGTGTGGGTACGCTCACCTCTTCCAACACGTCTGTTCAACGTCGAAAAGTAGACCAAATACCCTCAGGAGGGGCTGTCTAGAGCATCCTCGAGCGAAGGCCATTCTACTAGCAGTGTCGTGAGCGAGTCGTTGCAGGGCTGCGCCTTTGCCGTGTACGGTGCGTGACCCGCGCCGTCCTGCTGTGCTCACAGCGCCACGCATCCCCCCGGAGAAGCGAATCTTCACGACGACACACACGCCGGGCTGCGTCTTCCTGGACGTGGACGAGAGGTGAGCGCTGCCTGGGCTCACGAAGTTTCGCTCGCTGACATCGCCACCACTTTCGCTCTCCGCTGGTGTTCCTCGCGGTCCATTGATAAAAGTGAATAAAAATCGGTCCCTTAAGCTCGCGATAAATGCAATTAATTCATGTCCGAGTATCTGTTATTCAGAGTGTATGTTATTATTCTGCTATGGTTACCGCCGAGGGATAGCGTAGAACCCGCAAGGCCCCCTCGCGGGGCGTGTAGGTAAATGCTGGCCGTTTCTCAGCTGTCACACAATGCCAGAAGACTTCTCTCGACGTTTTTGAGCCATTGGCTTTGTGCTCGGTTACGGTGTTGAAATAAAAACCCGGTGTGACGCATTTTGTCTCGTACCCTCTAGCTGACGCCACCCTCCTGCCCCTGTGTCCCCATTCCTCCTGGACAGGGCGATCCCCCTGCTGGGATACCTGCCCCAGGACCTAGTGGGGACCCCCATGCTGACGTACATCCACCCCAACGACCGGCACCTGATGCTCGCCGTGCACAAAAAGAGTGAGTGCGGGAAACCCCAGGGTTGGGGACCACCGCCCAGAAACCGGCAGAGCCCTGAGTGCCACTCCAGAGACGTTTCATTCCCACTGTGAGCACTGAGGGCTCCTCCATTATCACCAATGGTCTTCCACCTTGGTTACAAAGCTCATTTACTTACCTCTGTCTCTATGAGATCCAAATGGGAGCTGAATGCTACAATGCATATCTGTTTCCATGTACATTTTACAAATATTCAGTTCTGGCTTGAAAAGGAGACTCCTGCTCTTAGACTGTGTGCTCTTTCCTGGTAATGAAGATTGCCCATTTACCTGTAACCCATCTACATACCTACATCACGACCTGTCTATAATAATTTTCATAGCCATTGGAAATACAGAAGCGTGTTTGTGCGCAATCCACACGTGTGTCATCTATCTGCCGTGTCTAATTGTCACATTGTCAATCTTCCTGTCCGCCCGCTCCACCGACAGTCTTGAAGTTTGTGGGGCAGCCATTCGACCACTCCCCGTTCCGCTTCTGCTCGTACAACGGGGACTACGTGACCATCGACACGAGCTGGTCGAGCTTCGTCAACCCGTGGAGCCGCAAGGTGGCCTTCATCATCGGCCGCCACAAAGTCCGCACGTGAGTCCGCCGGTCGAACGGGCGCGACTTCGTGGCGCGGGGCCGGGCCTGGCTGATGGATGTGCTAGCGCAAGGCAGGCGCGGAGGGAGGGTGGCCCATACGGGGGTTTCACGGGGCCTGCACTCGCCCGGGAGAGCCTCGTCGACCCTCGCCACTTTTGCTTAGGAGGGGGTCCCACTACGTCGTGGATGTTTGGCCACGCATTCCACGTTCGTAATGAGAGTTGGCTTCGTGTGAGAGGAAACTGGATAATCAGGAGAAAACCTATCGCACAGTTGGATTTAAGAATCAATTTTCTGTATTTCCACCTTGCAGCAAAGCGGGTTTGGGAGTTTTGTAAGCAATTTGCTTGATCCACCAGCCCTTGCTCCCAAAGTCCTGGATCACAGGCCTGGGGGACGAATGAAGCTGGCAGCGTTAGGCGTTCATCTAGAGCGCGCAGGTTAGGATTTTTTTGTCACGGCGCCCACGTGACCCCCTTGCCTGTTGTGTCCCTCCTCTCTGGTCCCTCTCCCCATCCCCCAGAGGCCCCCTCAACGAGGATGTGTTTGCGAGCCCCGCGACCGCGGTGGTTGGCGAAGTGGAGCCGCGGGCTCCGGACTCGGACGTCGCCGACATCCAGGAGAGGATCCACAAACTCCTGCTGCAGGTGCGGCCTGCATGCTGAGCGCACCTCTGTGCATTATCTTTGTTAGGTTCCTCCTTCTTTTCCTCTTGTTCATTTCCAGCAGCTGTTACAATGGCTGTCATCGGCAAATCTGAGATCATTATTCCCGTCTTCATTTATGTTTATGCCTTTATTTCTCCAATCCAATCTTTGTACAAAAAAAATTCCCAATGTTCACTGTGAATTACTTTTCACGAAGCGTGTGACTTCCCGCCTGACTCCCCTTACGCACACGCAGTGCCGCGCTGGCCCTCGCGGACGCTTGCTAACGGCGTGTCGTCTGCGTGTCGTCTGCGTGTCGTCTGCGTGTCGTTTGCGTGTCGTCTGCGTGTCGTCTGCGTGTCGTCTGCGTGTCGTGTGCGTGTCGTGTGCGTGTCGTCTGCGTATTGCCCGCCCGCAGCCCGTGCACAACAATGGCTCGAGCGGCTACGGGAGCCTCATGGGCAGCAACGGGCATGACTCGCACGGGCACCGGCTGAGCTTCGCTTCCTCCAGCGAGGGCACTGGCGCCGCACCTGATGACGGCCACGCGGACAAACCCGTACGTTCCGGCGCCAGGCGCACGCACGCACGCACACACACGTTTGCACGGATACAAAGATCCCCCGCATAGCCTGTGCAGGTTGCCGAGGGAACTGCCGTCATGTGGAGGCCGGCCACGTGCTGGTGGTGGTTTGGTCAGCGCCACACCCGGCTGCTTTTTTCCCCTTAGTGCCAATGTTTACCAGATACTCGTATAAGGCTGCATCTACTTAGGGGAGGCCAAGGACAAGTTCAGATATTCGTCGCTGATGTTGGCCGCGAGCGAGTCTCTCCATAGGTTAGGTTGGCTGTGAGCAGGCCACAGTCAATTTGTAGGACAACCACTGTTGACTTCCACACAATGTGGTACTCGTTTTATCGACCCCTGAGAAACAGTCCGGTTGTGAGTCACTCTCTCCACTGCTGAGCCACCCCAGGTGGTGAATCTCGTATCTGCAGGGGGGCTTAGTGAGAAAGTCGTGAGGGGGGTGGATATGGATTTGTCTGGCGACTAACCAATCGGTGCCCTCTGCGCGTCTGTGCGTGCGTGTCCTTGCGTGGTCCCCTCCATCCCTCTCCACTGCTCACGCTGCCCACCGCCACACGCCATGCAGATGTCATTCGCCCAGATTTGCGTGGACGTGCAGCAGCTGACGAACCCCGGGCGGCAGCAGCAGCAGCAGCGCTGCCCAGAACCCCTGAGCCGGCAGCAGCAGCAGCAGCAGCTCGGAGCGCAAGGTGCTTGCCCCCCTCTCGCCTTGCCCCCTGCCCCCACCCCCGCCTCACATTACTGCCATCGTCATCATAGTTTTTGTTATCGTTAAATTTGTCATCAGCGTGATCAATCGATATTCATTCCTAAAGATAGCGCGATGAAAAAAATGTACGACAGCGCTTGTACACGAGCAGAAAAGTGCAATCTGAATCCATATTCAACTTTATTAGCTTGTCCTACGTACGTTTAAACTCAGGAAATGCGTGATTAAAGAGGTGGGTCTGAGTGCAAATGTAAAACTCTCCATGGGTCACGGCCCCGTGGTGTCCGCGTTCGGGGCAGTGGAGATGATACAAGCCTCTGCCACCTCCTGTTGCCCCCTTCCCTCGCAGTGGGAGATCAAGGCCAGATGGTGCTGCCCAAGGCCGTGCTGGAGATGGGCCGAGAAGGCCCGCGGGCCGGACGCGAGCGCTCAGCCAGAGCCGTCACGGACGAGACCGGCAAGAAGGAGCAGACGGCCATGCCGTCCTACCAGCAGATCAACTGCCTCTACTCCATCATACGGTACGCTCGCCCTCCTGCATCCATCGTACCGAGTGTGGGGTGTGCTGGTGATGTGGCCTCATAAAGCATCTAAATGTGACCTCCTTTGGAGAAACAGAAACGACACGTTCATTGGTCGTGGCAGGGGTGGCACAATGGCGACACGCGTGCCCCACAGAAAGAAGGGCTTGTTTGCAATATCCGACTTGGGCACCTTGCTGTGTTCTCTCTTTGTTCTGCATGGGTTTCCTCCAGGTGCTTCAGTTGCCTCCTGCAGCTAAATATATCATACAATAACACTGGTATTGGCCAAAACATCTAAATGTTGCAAAATAACTTATAAATAACTCAACAGAGATCCCCATGGCAACATCGTGCCTTACAACATGAACTTGGCAGGACCTTCTTGAAAGGGAGTATCAAGCGAGGCTTGGGTAAATGAGCGGAAACAAAGTAGAATGACGGCACGCCGGTTCACGATGAACACGGCCACCGATGTTGACGTTGCGTCATGTTGCTGTGTGCACAGATACCTGGAGAGCTGCAACGTGCCCAAGGCGGAGAAGCGCAAGTGCCCGGCCTTGTGCGAGGCCTCCTCCTCGACCTCGGACGACGAGAAGCCGGACGTGGCCGCACAGGATCCGAGCGGAGCCGAGATGGACCCGGAAGGTGAGGTGTTGGCCGCAACCGCCTGTAATTACCACAGCGCGTGGCGATTATGCCTCTTGGCACCCGATATTGATGTAGGAAAGCCGGTGCTTTCGTAACAAAAGTAACATCGGGGATATGTTTTTGGGATAATTAAATAGCTCGAGGACATTTGCTGCATTGGCAAGTGATCGTGGCAAAGGTGCCACGTGGCCTCCCTGCTCGTATTCATTACAAGTCACAAGCGAGGCAATGCGTCGGCCTGCTCACATGGGGGTGGGACGCTAGGCTCCAGTGGCAGCCCTGTGCCAGTGGGGTACATTCCACGTACCAATGGTAGCGGCCAGTGTCCCTCTTGGACGAACACGACTGCCTTCCTACAAAGTGCCGGTAAATATATTCAGTAAATAGCGATTACAAGACGAGCCTCTCTTAGCGATAAACGCAGTGAATTCACCCCATCGTTATTAAGCATGTCGACAAATCTATTATTTAATTAGTTTATCCATTTTGCACACTAAGTACATTGCCGGTGAATTCGGTAACTTCCCGCTTGCTTCATAAGCACCATCAGCATGTGGAATTCATTGACAAATTCGGGTTACGGCTGAGTGGCGTGGAGCAGTGGCATAGTGGTTCGCACACTTTGCTACAAATCTACTGAGCCTGGTTCGATTCCTGGTCATGGCTGACATCGGTGGCGAGTGATAACTGGACCAGCCCTGCCTTCGCCAACCTGCACTGATCGGAGTGGTGAAGTAGAATCAAACAACCCCAGTACCGACATGGCATGGGGAGGCCCTCATCCAGCAGTGGATTGACAGGGCTGTGCATTTTGTTTCGAAGGCCACGCATCTCTCGTGATGGCCATGGTAGACGAGGGCGACAGTCGCAAGCAATCGTCACCGGCAATAATTGCTCAACGATTTTCTACTCTTTAAATTTTATTCCAAATCTGGACCAATCTGATTGCACGTGGACACCTTGGGTGCCGACTTTCAATGAGAAAGTAGTCGGAGGTAATTCAGCTAACCAATGAAAACACTTGCGTGATGCTTCTTTCATTGGCTAGCCACAATTCCGTCGAGCCTCGTAGTAAACTTGTTGCCGGTGACAATTGGTGGCGGCGATGATCCTAGAATTGCCGTAGCGCGTCACTGCGTTCCGTCAACTCGGGAGCGCGAAACTAAGGCACGAATCTCTCGTGGTGGTGGCGGCAGCAGTGATGGAGGCGGAGCCCGAGATGGCGGTGGACCCCGTGGAGCCGGTGGCGCCGCCCGTCATGGCGACGCCGCCGCCGCCTCCGCCGCCGCTGGCCCCGCTGCCACTGCCCCTGAGCAAGGCGGAGAGCGTCATGTCGGTGACGAGTCAGTGCAGCTACAGCAGCACCATCGTTCACGTGGGCGACCGCGACAAAAAGAACCAGCCGCCCGACTCCGGTACGGCACTGCGCTGTCGTGGCGCTCGAGGGAGGCGAGTGGGCGAACGCACCGGGGAACCTAGCGGCAGCTGCTTCACGAAACGTTACGTGGTCACGTTGCCGTTTGCTTGACGTGGCAAGGAGGTTCGGGAGGTGCTCGTAACAGCTGGCGGATCGTCGGCGCTGCTAGAATTCAATGCCAGGTTTCAGCCGCCCGTGACTTAGTTGGGAAAAGTCGTTGCAGCACAATGTGGATGGTGATGCGGCTCAGAGGTAGCGTGTTCTCCGCTTGTTATAGAGATTTGCGATTCAAATTGATACGCCGCACCGGTTATTTCTGCGAGTGTATTAACCATTAAATATGCACCGTGACATCATTGGAAATGAGTAGGCCATTGTGTGCCGGTGTCATGTTCCAAATTTATACCACAATTTACTTGATTAGAATTATACACGTGGCAACGATAATTGCCCCCTTATTGCCACTGAAGGTGCCCTTCAAATTTTTTTGGATAAAATGTGATGCAAGGTGCTTTGATTTGCTGAGGCATTTCAGCAAAGCCTTAAGAATGCAAAGATTATCGCTATTAAACCAGCTTCACTTAACCCATGAAATGTATCAAGGTCATGCTCCAATTCAATTTGATGTTCGTAATGTGGCCCAGGCCGGAATACAGCACTTAGACGACAAGTGGCTGAGAACTTGCGTGTTAAATAATCATAGCTCACGATTTATAACATGGGGAAAAACTAAACATGGTCCAGGTGGTTTAATGATTCACCTCCTGGAAATTCCATAAATTCTCCTAGTTAGTGGCCACCATTTAATTCAAGATTTAATTATTTTATTGCCCCATTTTACTATTTTCTTTGTATCGCTGCTTTTTTTGTTTGCACAATTTGTTCGCTCGTGTCGCCCAGAATACCCAGGCCACAGTGCCCCCAGGCAGCGTGGTGTGAGAGAGGCTGCCGCTTCACCTCGCCTATTCGTTCATTTTGACGCGGCAACATGGCGTTGACGTTCCCTGTCCACGTAAAAAATGTCCCCTGCATGGTGCCCGCAGCCTGCACCAACCCTAACAGGCCCCCTTAGTTGAGAGCCGCTGGCTTCGTGTGATTTGAACATATGGCATGAATACATTTTGCGCTAAACCGCAAATAACCGAGTCTCACGTGCACAATTCTACGCGTGCAAGCACACATTTTGAGTGACGGGTCGACATGTCGTTGCGCATCTAGAAATCGCTGCTCTGGAGGACACGCCCAACATGGGGGGCGGGGACCCTCCCGAGACGCCCGGCAAGGGGGGCACGGCCCCCCCGCCGGAGAAGGAGCGCGAGAGGGAGGAGTACAAGAAGGTGGGCCTCACCAAGGAGGTGCTGTCGGCCCACACGCTCAAGGAGGAGCAGACGTACATCCAGCGCTTCCTGGCGCGCGACGGCACCACCAACTTCTGGGCGTTCGGCTCCCCGCACCGCTTTTGCCTACCGAGCCAACACCGCGGCCGCTCACGCGACAGAGGTGACCTCCCTCCTCCACCCCCTCCCCCTGTCCACCTCCACCCACCCCACCCCGGTCAGCTCGTGCAGGGTTGCTCCTTCTCTGCTGCTGCCCTGCTGGCCTCCAGTGGTGGCGCAGTCGCCGCGTGTTGCGAAGGTTTCGCGTTTTGAATCCGGCAGGCCGGCTGGGCCAATACTGTGATGCATTCATCAAAAAATAGTACGCGCCATTTTCTTCACTCGCAGTGAACGATAAAGATGCCGTGACATAATTCGAAGAAGACTTGGACATTGTGCCTGCGCCAAGGTCCAAACTTTCCAAATGTTCCAAACTACTCGCAAATTAATAAAATAGGAAACGCATAAAATTAGTTTACCCCTACGGAAAAACCTCAGCAGCATCCTCAGGCTTTGATGGGTAAACAAGCGTTGTAGTTATAATAATGATGATGATGATGATGATAACTATACATTGTTACGTTGCTGTGCTAATTTGTAATGGGAATGTATGTATGTTGTTCGTCTCTGCGTGCAGGCGTCCACGGCCTGTCTCATCAGAGCTCCAAGGTGAGCGGCCCCACCCTGCGCCGCGCCGGCACCGGCGGCGTCGGCACCGGTGCCGGCACCTCCGGCCGACTCGGCAAGTCGAAGCCCAAGCGAGCGAAGCAGCAGCAGGAGTCGTCGGACAGCGGGCCCGGCTCCACCTACGCGCAGACACCCTTCCAGCGCCGCGCCACCACTGGCACCCGGTTCCAGCCGACCGTCGAGCAGGTGGCGGCCTGCAGCCAGAGCTGGTTGCCCTCGGACGAGTGCTTGGGCCCACTGCCCCAGCACGTGGCCTCCCTGCCCCCTCACGTGGCGGTGGGGCCCCCGGGGCTGGGGCCGCAGGGCGTGGGGCTCTACCAGCTGTCCTACCCGCTGCCGGTGCTGCCCGGCTTCCAGCCCGTCTCTGCCGAGGCCCAGTTCCCGGCGGCCGCCGTGGCGGCGGCGTCGGTGCCGCCGTACCTGGCACCCGTGCTCACGTTCGTGATGCCGCAAAACTACCTCCTGCCCGCCGCCGGCTGCTACCAGGTGGCCGGCTCTGCGCAGGGGCCCGCGCCGGCCGTGTACGCTCTGCCGCCGTTTGCGCTGGCCTCCGCGGGGGCGCCGGGGCTGATTGCCGACCCTTCCCAGGCCTCCGCGGCCACGCCGGCCGCGTCGATGGCGACGATGTCGTCGCTTGCGTCGGCGCCGGCTTCCTCGGGGCTGTACCCGCGGTGCATCATCGCCACCGGCGTGGAGGAGGAGGAAGAGGAGGAGGCGCCGGGCGCGGACGACGTGGACATGGGGGAGGCGGTGGATCTGCTGGCGGCCGTGGAGCCGGCGGCGCTGGCGGGATCGCGGGCTTCCACGCCGGGCGTGCTGGCGGCACCGCTGTCACCCGGCCTGGAGGAGCAGGACTCCGCGCCGTCGCTTTTCGACCAATCGCGGTGCAGCTCCCCGCTGCAGCTCAACCTCCTCAACTTGGACGAGGCGACGCCGCGCACCAACGAGCGCGCCGACGGCGGCGCCGGCGCTGAGCAGCAGCCCGGCGAGCAGCAGGTACGGGGCCCGGCGTGCGGGATGCACTCGGGGGCCCACTCAACCTCATAAATTGGACCCTCGCAGCAATGGTTTTGGTCAAATCACCTCCCCCTAAATCTTGAAAAATATCCGTAGCCAAGCACCAGGCAGCAGCTCACCATGGAGTCACGCTCACACAATTCACCCATCACTCGCTCCACCATCAATTTCTCAAATCACCTGAAAGTATCACCTTGGACTCCACATTCTCACTCGACAACCACGTCCTCTACACAGTAAAAACATCTTAGGGGCTTATGGTACATCTGTCCACCATTGACTACAGCCACTGTGAACACTCGAGCTTGTAGCATTGTAGGCACTCGCCTTGAATATTGCAAAGCCATCCTTATTCACACATTATAAAAACAGCTCAACAAACTACAGCGGCTTCAAAGCAACCTGTCTCGTGTTGTTGTGGGCATTAGCCATGACCACATGACTTCCATGGCTTCACAGAAATCTTTGCACTGGCTCCCCATCAAAGCAAAGGTACAGGACAAGATCGCTATACTGTGCCCATAATCTGCTCATCGTACCCAGGACTGTCCTGGATAAGTGTCATTCGTCCGTCGCTGCACTCCCACTACACATGCTCAGCATCTATGCAGCATCCACCTTCAAATGCCAGTTCAAGGCTCTCATTAGTTCTCACCCGTTCAGGCTCTCTCCAATTCAGGCCACATACGAAGGACTTTGAGTTCTGGCTCCGGGCCTCCGAGTTCTCTATTGAATGTTGCTTTCAATTCGTGAGATATGTGCATGACAAATTACGTTTGCTATTATTAGTATTGTTATACATGCGTAAGCCCCCTACAGCATCCGGCTTCATTTTTTTCCAGGATGCCAGCGAAGAGGGGAACAACAACGACACAATGTCCACTTCCAGCGACCTCCTGGACCTGCTGCTGCAGGAGGACTCCCACTCGGGCACGGACTCGGCCGCCTCGGGCTCGGGCTCCTCGGGCTCGGGGTCGTCGGGTTCGCGCTCGCTCGGCTCCGCGGGCTCGGGCGGCTCCAACGCCTGCGACACGTCGCGCAGCGGCACAGGTGAGCGCACGGAAAAGAGTTGGCTGTTGTGTGCTGGTGCCATGGTCCAAATTTGCTGAATTAAAATAAATGTACCTGCAAATTACTCGATTTAAATTTAAACAGCAACATTGCCCCTCATGAAAAACTTGGTAGGACCCTCTTGAAAAAGTCTTGAGACTCGGTGAAGCTTTTCTGGATAAACGTACGGAATTTTTATCTGACAATGAGTGGTTGATTGAAACCCACATTTGAACCCAAATTAATTGGCTCGGTGATCTGACGTGGTATTATATATATTTATGTGGCAAGACAGACATGGATAGAGGTGAATCGTCTGCTTGGTTATTTTGTGACGTGGTGTTAGCACCTTCCTGTGCAGCGGCGTTAATTTATGTCGACTCCTCGTGTATGGGTCACCTGCAGGCAGCACCAGCAACACCAGCCAGTACTTTGCAAGCAATGACTCATCGGAGGTTGACCAGAAAGAGCGCAAGGAGAGGGAGGAGGACAACAAGTTCAAGCAGCTGTTGCTGCAGGACCCCATCTGGCTGCTCATGGCCAACACCAACGAGTCGGTCATGATGACCTATCAGCTGCCCTCCCGGTGAGTCAACGGTGTTATTTGAAAACACGTAGAAACTGTCACCCCCAACTGCAAAACCTTGTCAGGATCCTGCTGAAAAAGAGTCTTGGGACTCCTGGAGGCTTTCCTGGTTAAATAGTGTATATTAATAATAAAGCAGTTCAGTTAAGGTGAGTTGATAATACTGGATGGGCAGGCCTAGGCAGGGCAGTGTTGGACAAGTCAAGTACGTTGTTGTTGGGAGGTGAGCATAGTGGCTTTTTGGTGAGCGGGCAGCCTGGTGGGTGAACAGATGCTCTTGTGGATGAGCGGGTGGGTTAGTGGATAAGTGGGTGGGCTTGGTGGGCGATTGGGCAAGCTGGTGGGAAGATGAGTGTTGCGCGAGCGGGTGGGGTGGTGGGTGGGTGTGTTGTCGAGCAATGAGGCCAGAGAAACAACCGTTTTCTCTCTTATCGCAGGGACGTGGAGACCGTTCTCAAGGAGGACCGTGAGAAACTCAAGGAGATGCAGAAGCTGCAGCCTCGCTTCACGGAAGCACAGCGCCGGGAGCTGTGTGAGGTGCACCCATGGCTCAAGAAAGGAGGGCTCCCCGTGGCTATCAACATCCAGGTGCGACTTTGCACCCCAAACATTGCATTCATCCCGATTACTAAGCCATTAATATAATTCGAAATGTATCTCGAGACCATTGCGTGTTTCCCTTCATTGTGTATTTGTGCTGTTGTTCGCCATTTGCGAAAGCCAGTGTGGATTGTAACGTTTTGTCGTCATGGCTGCCAGGTGTGCGAGTGCGGCAGCACCACGAGCACCAAGGCCTCGGCCCCGTTTGACGTGGAGACGCACGAGATGGACGATGGCGGGATGCTCGAACTAGGCGAGGAGGGCTCGGGCGTGGCCCAGCAGGCCGGCACGGTGGCGCCCCAACCCATGCTGCTGCCCCCGCCACCGCCAGCTCCGTTCGGTGGCACCGTTTCCGCGACGATGCGTGCGGCCCACAAGACCGCACAGGCCTCTGAGGGCGTCGCCATGGAGACGGGGGTGTTGAGGAGGGACTGGCAGCAGCGAGGACAAATTGTGTCACCGGCGAAACGAGCGCAGCAGCAGCAGCAGTCGGAGACAGCCTCCGAATTTGCGCGGCCCTCAGCGTGCAAGTAGCGTGGCAGTGCAAAGTGTGAGGCTCGCAATCTAAACGACTTTCGTTTGAGAGATGTTGCTGGTACGTACTGTGAGGAATGGTCAAAGCGCAGCTCAGTTTTGGCAGAGGATTGTGAACAATTCGGCAAGGGCGACTCGATATAAGTCGTGTGCCCGGCTGCTGCCGTGTCATTGGTGGCGCTGCGCAGACAAAGGTGGCTGTGCCTGAGTGGCGCAGATTCCCTTGAACGCAGGCGTGCATTGGGCTGGCCACAGCAGTCGCCCACAAGCAGCGCTACCAACACGGCGAGTATGCGTCTTTGTGAGTGGGTGTTTGAATGAGGGGGTTTCCCATATGCGTGTGCATGTACACGCCCAGGCGAAGAGATCACTCTGGATTCAAATTCCATAAGCAGCCCAGCACAGGTGTGCACAAAGGTAGGTGTGCGAACTGATTCAACTCAAACGTATGTGATTGCATTGGCAGCGATCTAAACGAGTTGGTTAGCGTCGACAGGCTCCGTGAGTAGAGTCGGGGTACAGTCTATAGGTTTGGACTGACACAACATGAGTAAATGCTAAGGCCCGAGACTTGTCTTATGGCTGCTCGCAATGCAAATGAATGGAGCCAGTCAAGTGAGAAAATTGACCTAGAAATAGGAGGTCGAAACAAGGCATCTCCACGATTGAAAAGCATGGACTGGAGGATCACTCGTCCCGAGTGTCCTCGGGTTGTCTTTGTTACTCGTGATAAACCTCCATGTCTGTCTGACTGCGCTGGACGCTATCAGGACTATTTTTATCCCCGAGTTACCTCATTTGTCATTGCGAACTTGTCTCTGGGGAAGCAAAAAAAAAACAATTTCAAGCGGTCAGAAGACAGAAAACGGCTCGCGGTCTGGGGGCCACGGGGAACCAATGAACTCGAACAAGATCTGCTGGTAGACGCCCCCACCCGACTCACTGTGTCGCTCTTATGGGCCTGGTAATGATTACTGCTGTAGACTCTATGCCTTGTGCATCTCGCAACCAAACACGAGCTCATCTCATCGCTTCACCTCCACACTGGTTATCCTGCTGGGATGCCATTTCATCTTCAGTTTCAACCATCGGCCATCATCACCCTTAGCAATGTGTCGTGGCCCATGCCCACAGTCAATATGATGTATCTTATTTGTATTTGTTCTCCAATCCGTCTGTTGATCTTTGTCTGTCTCTCAGTTGATTCCAAGCATGCATCTCTCCATGCTTCTCTGCATATGCTGCATCTTGTTTTATTATGTAATCAGTGTATTTACAATCAATTTGTAGCAGCTAACATGCATTCTTTGAAAACTGCATTCTTTTGGCAGATGGGTAGGTTTCTATTCATTATCAAACATAGACTTTCAAAAGTACCCCAACCTGCTCTCGATCGCCACCATTTTTATCCCGGTGTGCCTTCAACAATCGTTATGTTTTCCAGTTGTCTCCCTCCAACAGTTACCCGAATTGGTTTAGTGCTCATTCATTTTGAGCACAACTTTACAACTTTAAACATTTATCGTTAAGATTCTTGTGACACCGAGAACATCGCGCTTGGTTGTTTGGTCGCTGTTGGAATGAGCAAGAAAGGCAGCGAGAGATTGTCACCATGTGATGTCGTGTGGCCCCATTGGTGTCGTCTGCGTCCCTCGGTCTGCAAGGTCTGTCGTCTTGGGTACGTTTCCCTCGATGTAGTGTCACACGCCCACCCCAGACGCTCCAGCAGTACGTTTGACCTTGTTGTAGTGCAGAATGTACATTCGTGATGTACTGGACTCGTGATGAGAGTGCGTGACAACAAACGTGTTCAGCCGTAGACTGGGATGTGCTCGTCAGCGTGATGTGCAGTCATGTGCAAAGTGAAACACGGGTCTGCTTGTGTTGACTTCATTGTTGTGTGCTTGACACTGGGTTGTGCTGTATTTCATTGTCTCTTTATTTTATTATTAATGCAGTGTTGTTGTTTTTCCCGTGACCTAATTAACGGAGCGAGATGGATCGCTCGCTGCGATTGCTCGCCCCACACTCCGACCGTCCTTTTAGTCCGCGTCGGTCTTCTCCATGGTTGGGACTGGAAGACCGCAATGTGGTCAGCAAGGTCGATTGCCTGCCGATCTAGAGGGCCTTTTGTGACCGACAGCTAGCCATTAATATTATTATTCCGACTACTGTGCTTGTTTACCCAGCAAAGTCCAATTGAGTCACTTTTAGGAGGGTGCTGCCAAGCATTCACAGTAAAAGGCGATGCTTGCTATGTATCATCCCAATTTGGCCAATTTGGACCATGACGAACAGTTTGAACCATATCGTGGCCTAGTGAAATATATGCCCTCTCCATGCTCAAATGGAGGGCAGCACACTTTGCATTGGTGGTGGAAAGTCTACATTCCTGTGGCAGGAGCCCGTCTTTCTGTAAGATAGCCACTTGACTTACCAGGAAGTGATACTCACTTTATCGATACTGGAAGAATTGCTGATGGGCTACGCTCCACTCCCTGAGCAGTATTTGAACTCGCAATCTCGTGATGGTGAGTGAAGGGGCCTGACCACTGATAAGTTACCCTGCCCGTTAAAAAAAGTTGTACAATCAAACTGCAGCAACTGCCATGAACCTATCTGCACAGGGCTTTGGGTACACTCCCAGCGGTGGCCTTTAAGAAATGTACATTGTGATTGCTGCTATGAATACTATTATTTATATTCGTGAAAGTGTAACTGTAACGGGAGTGAATGACAAAGTAGACAAAAGTAATTCCTGCTGGTATTGGTCATCACTGATGAGGGAATGTGTTTTGTGGGTTTTGCTATTTTATATATAACTTGATGCTTTGGTTGGACTGCGCGACACTTTATATTGGGCCTGTGGTCACAGCAGTCACTTGCGCTGCATCTTTACATGATAGTCATTTTATTTTTGTATGCGTGTTTAGTTATGTATTTGAAAAAAAAACACCCAAAACAGTGTGCAAAAAAGTGAATTAGAAAAATCTTTAAAGCTTCACCCAATGGGGCCGACCGATTCCTGTGCCTGGATGCATGCAGACGCATGTCTGCCCGAATTTATTTTTGTAATCCTGATGAAAATTACGTGCAAGCATTTCATATCTGCACGAGGTCTGGCCCTTGGTTTAATTCGTAAAAGCAACTGGCGTGCATTCAGATGAGTCACAAGTGATATTTACTTTTATCTTGAAGTGCGGCGAATTTGCATGCTGGAGAACGTTCTGCGGTTTTCTACCGGTGTCATCTCATGTCTCTCTTGAAGGGTTTGAGAGGTTCTCTCCTGCAGAGCAAGGGGGTGTATTAACAAGGTAACGGTATCTGCAGTGTGAATGCGATGCGGCACGGGTGTAAACGTGTAGTTGATCAGTTTAGCATGTACACAAGTGAATGTCCTTGCACATGCACTTGAGAGGCTAATGCTGTAAATGTGCATTACGCAGGTGAATAGGGAAACTGAGTGTTTTTAGTGCCTGGTTTTGCTGAATTTTTTTATATTGACATTCGAGAATCCAAATGTCATTTTCACAAGTTGTCTGTGAACAAACTTTCAGATTTCTTCACTGTTTATTATATAATCGTCATGTTTATTGTTATTACAATGTTATATTTTTCAATGAAATGTTCGTCAGGAAATTTCTACCGCTGTTGAGAAATTTGACGTTTTAAGTTCTTGTTTTAGGATGTGTGGATTTCACAAATTTTCGTGAATAAAGTCCTGAAGTGACATTCGTTTGTCTGCCCGGTTTGATGTCGCTCACTTGGTATTGGCAATGTGCTTCATGTTGTGCCTCCTACGGGATTCCCACGCGAATACACTGAGGCAGTGATGGAGAGTCTCGGTTACTGTGCTGGGCAGGTCACTCGACAGAACAACAACCACTGTTGACTGTTTAAATGTGTCGTGGGTGTTGATAGCGTTACACGGGGTCACCACTACTCACCTGGCGTAGCGCCAGCCATGGGTCAACAGGGGGTGACAGCGAGTACGGTCTGCATGAGGTAACGCCCGTAGGCCAGGGGACCAACCCAGAGAGCGGTTGGGGCCCGGAGGTCCACACCCCAGGCCCCCAGTGGGGGCTGGGGGATTACGCAATAGTCCAGGTCCCTCCAGAAGTATTCTTAGGTTTTTTTCACGTAGGTAAAACATCAAAATTAATAAAAATAAAATAAATATCACGACGTTTCGGAGGCAACACAAGTCTCCGTCATCAGGTGGGACCGTCACAGCCAGATTAGCTGCATCAAGTGAGGCAATGATTCAAGATGTAATCCCTTAAAAGCGAGTTGAGGGGGGAGGAGAGGGGGGGGGGAGCTCATCAGAATGTGGTAGCCAATGAATGGAACGTATCGGGAGGGAGGGGGGCGGGGCCAAAAGGGTGGGCGACGGCGTGGAAGCGATTGTGCGCAAGCGACAAACTGCTGCACACGCCAACGCATTGGACAGAGAGGGGGGAGGGGGAGGCCTGATACACATGATAGAAAAGAACGAAAATGCCCATGTTTATACCAATGCTGGCTGAACAATGAAGAGATTACTGTTAAACACTGGGGATGTTAACACTCGGTAAAGTAAAGTAAAATAGTGCCTGTCAGATAAGATGGTCCAAAAAAGTGTAATTAAGTCTTTTTTGCGTGGTTAATAACATCTTTCCAATGGTTACTAAGTTTGTACCCATCATCACGGTTGAAATTATGTCTGTGTTTGTATATTTGTATGGCTTCGTGTACAAACCTTTGATGGTAGCCAGGAGGTTTGCAGAGAACCTTGGTCTCGGAAAAGACAATTTCATGAGAGCCCACCGAGTTGGACCAACACCACCTGACCGGTGAATTAAGACATGTACATCGGGCCCTCAGGATGAACGGATACTCTGACCGTACTATCCGCCAAGCTGTCTCTCCCACCACACAGAAACAGCCACATGAAACTCCGACCAAAACTATCACGTTACCATACATAGCAGGCGTGACCAAAAAGATCTCCAAAATTCTAAACAAACATAAGATCCAAGTCCGATTCAGTACAGTGCATAAAATCCATGATCTGATTCCATCTGTGAAGGATGTCGTTCCTGACTTACAGTATCCTGGAGTCTACAAATTGAGTTGCATTTGTGGTGATTGCTACATTGGAGAAACGAAACGTCATGTTTCTGATCGTGTCCGCGAGCACAAGTCAGATCTGAAACACGGCAGAACTGATTCTTCGGCCGTTGCCGATCATTGCTACAACTCGGTGGGCTCTCATGAAATTGTCTTTTCCGAGACCAAGGTTCCCTGCAAACCTCCTGGCTACCATCAAAGGTTTGTACACGAAGCCATACAAATATACAAACACAGACATAATTTCAACCGTGATGATGGGTACAAACTTAGTAATCATTGGAAAGATGTTATTAACCACGCAAAAAAGACTTAATTACACTTTTTTGGACCATCTTATCTGACAGGCACTATTTTACTTTACTTTACCGAGTGTTAACATCCCCAGTGTTTAACAGTAATCTCTTCATTGTTCAGCCAGCATTGGTATAAACATGGGCATTTTCGTTCTTTTCTATCATGTGTATCAGGCCTCCCCCTCCCCCCCTCTCTGTCCAATGCGTTGGCGTATGCAGCAGTTTGTCGCTTGCGCACAATCGCTTCCACGCCGTCGCCCACCCTTTTGGCCCCGCCCCCCTCCCTCCCGATACGTTCCATTCATTGGCTACCACATTCTGATGAGCCCCCCCCCCTCTCCTCCCCCCTCAACTCGCTTTTAAGGGATTACATCTTGAATCATTGCCTCACTTGATGCAGCTAATCTGGCTGTGACGGTCCCACCTGATGACGGAGACTTGTGTTGCCTCCGAAACGTCGTGATCTTTATTTTATTTTATTTTTATTAATTTTGATGTTTTACCTACGTGACTTTACCGAAAAAACCTAAGAATATGAATCCTTGCAGTCACGAAAGCTTCAAATCTAGAATCCCTCCAGAAGGTTCCAGAGAGAAGGCGTGGCCAGGGGCGGAGTGACCCTGGCCACCGTATATAAGGCGGACCTCTGAACGGGTTTGCCAGTCGTCGTCAAGCTGAAGACCCGAAGAGCCAGCCTAGACTAGGACCCTGGGAACCCGGGACCCGGCGTCCTTCTAAGGGCCGGGATCCGAGAACCTTGGCTGGGTGGGGTTAGGCAAGCCCCTCCCCTAGGGCCCTGAGCCGGAGGGTTGAGGTCGAGAGTGGTCCCAGTGATGGTGAGCACGATAACCCGCAGGCTTTACCTCCTCAGGTATCGGGTGGAAGGGGCCGTTACCCCGTTGTGTCAGGGGCCCTCTATTGTTGTTGTTATAAATAAGCGTGTTGCCTCCAGTGAAGATTGGGTCTCCATCATCACCGATACAGGTCACCATACTCAATAGGGATTATCGTTGGTAGGGAAATCTTTTAGTACACACAATCGACAGGATGTACAAGTACAATGTGCTTGCATAATGTACGTTGATTATAATTAACCCAACCGCCAATGGATACCCATTGCCATGTATTCATTACTACCCCCCCCCCCCCACTTCGCGCAAGACGTGCTCACACTGACGTCATCACATCTATCTAAGGGACGAACCAGGATTTCTCCACAAATCTGTCGCCTGTTGAAGCTGGTTGTAATTACTGGCGAAACGTCGTACTCGGATTGTAAATGTTGTGGCTTGGCTCTCCGATACACCGGCGTGCTGTTCTAGTGAGGGGCCATCCATAAATGACGTCACGCACCTGGGGGGGGGGTGTCAGACATTTGTGACGATGTGACGAAGGGGTGGGTGAGGAATGTGACGTCACATCAAAATGCACAACTTTAGATAAATATAGACAACACGTTCTACTTATTCTTTGGTTCTTTCGGTTAAGTCACGTCTAAAGATAAAATAATAAATTAAAATAAAAGCATATTACGACGTTTCGATTGCAACACAAGCAATCATCATCAGGCAAAAAAAGAAATAGCAACAAAAATCTAACTAGAAAACTATAGACAGACATACAAGCAGACAGACATCACAAGGACACACAGAGAGAGGACACATATCGGCACAAAGAGAGGGGTCGTTTCTGTGACGGTCCCTTAAATATAGAGAGGGGGGCAGGGACGGAGAGAGGGAGGGGGCAGAGAAAATTAGCATATCAATGAGTGGACGGTAAAGTTCTGCTGCTGCGCGAGTAAGATGATGACGTGGCACGGCACGCAAGCTTGTAAATTAGGAGAAAGGCACACTAAAATTAAATAACCTCGCAAAATATCGAAATGTGATGTAATACAACACAGAGAGTCGGCCAACACACAATTAACGCATAGCCTGGTTGATTACGTATCTCAAAGATTGCTAAGTTAGAATTTAAGTGTGAAACTTCCAAAGAGAGGACACAGGCAGAGAGAACAAATAGCCAGAGAGAGAAAAAAGATAAGCTTAAAACTTCCCCGTAGAAGTGGTTCAATCTTAATTATGGAGCTTTCGTGACTGCAGGAATTATTCTTTGGTTCTTTCGGTTAAGTCACGTCTAAAGATAAAATAATAAATTAAAATAAAAGCATATTACGACGTTTCGATTGCAACACAAGCAATCATCATCAGGCAAAAAAAGAAATAGCAACAAAAATCTAACTAGAAAACTATAGACAGACATACAAGCAGACAGACATCACAAGGACAAGCAGACAGACATCACAAGGACACACAGAGAGAGGACACATACGTTCAACTTAGTTAAATAGACTTTTTAATGTTTTCTCCTACAACATCAAAGTGCAGCGCCACATTAAATACGCACTACAATGACAATAGTTTAAAGCGATTTGAAGCATGTTTTATATTTTGGGGGGGGGGGCAGAGCTTTGTGACGTCATATTTGAGGGGGGGGTCTGACTTTTTGTGACGCCGTGTGACGAGGGGGGGGGGGTCAAAAATCGTCCAAAATCGCGTGACGTCATTTATGGACGGCCCCTGACGAATTGGCATATTCTGTCTGTGACAAACCGTACTAATTGGCTGTGTCGGTGGTGGTGGGTTTAACGACGCACATATTTACGCGATCTAACCCAACACACCTGCCCAGTGTCATGGCTACTGCAGTGGCACACCGGTCAGCCTGAGCGGTAAAGACGTTCGTTGAGGATCCCGCATGTTGGTGTTCAATCCCCGGGGACTGTGCCATGGGGAGCTGACTGTGCCATGGTTGAGCTGACTGTGCCATGGGGAGCTGACTGTGCCATGGGGAGCTGACTGTGCCATGGTTGAGCTGACTGTGCCATGGGGAGCTGACTGTGCCATGGGGAGCTGACTGTGCCATGGGGAGCTGACGTGACGGTCGGCAGCACTCGGGACCAGCCGTCGCCGATTCCATGTCCCGGCACGGAGCTGGAGGGCCACGGGGCCCTGGCTCGGTGCAGGCGGCGTGGGGAGCCCCCCCCCCCGTGGGGAGCCCCCCCCCGTGGGGTGCCGCCCCCCCCCCCCCCGTGGGGTGCCCCCTGTGGGGTGCCCCCCTCCCCCCCGTGGGGAGCCCCCCCACCCCCGTGGGGAGCCCCCCCCCCCGTGGGGTGCCCCCCTCCCCCCGTGGGGAGCCCCCCCCCGTGCGCGCCCCCCCCCCCCGACTTCAGCGTGGGGGGGGGCGGCCACGCTGATTGGCTGCGCGGCTGTCGGGGGGTTTCTGATGCCGCCCGCCTCGTTCGTCTCTCGCGCCCCGCCGCGTTCTGCGTGAGGACGGCCGCAGGTGGAGCTCTCGTGAGCTCGTGGTGAGCGGTGTTAGCGCGGTGTACTTGTTAGTGGTGTACTTGTTAGTGGTGTACTTGTTAGTGGTGTGCTTGTTAGTGGTGCGCTTGTTAGTGGTGTACTTGTTAGTGGTGTCCTCGTGGTGTGATCGCGGACTAACCCGCGCTGCGTAAACTACACACGGAGTCGTGCCGCCCGAGGGAGAGCAGCCGCTGCCATGGAGCGCGTTCGGGAGATGGTGGCGATGAACCGCGAGGGTGACAACTACGCGGTGATGGTGGAGGACGAGGAGGTGGACGAGGTGGAGATGGAGGAGGGCTTGGGGAGCGAGACCGCAGCGAGAGATCGGGTACGGTGCTGGCGGCTGCGCTGTTGACGCTCTCGACGTCTTGCTGTTGTTGTTGTTGTTGCTGCTGTTGTTGTTGCTGTTGTTGTTGTTGCTGTTATTGCTGCTGCTGTTGTTGCTGCTGTTGTTGCTGTTCTTGTTGTTGTTGTTGCTGTTGTTGTTGCTGTTGTTGTTGCTGCTGTTGTTGCTGTTCTTGTTGTTGTTGTTGTTGCTGTTGTTGTTGCTGTTGTTGTTGCTGTTGCTGCTGTTGTTGCTGTTCTTGTTGTTGTTGTTGCTGCTGTTGTTGTTGTTGCTGTTGTTGCTGCTGTTGTTGTTGTTGTTGCTGCTGTTGTTGTTGCTGCTGTTGTTGTTGCTGCTGTTGTTGTTGCTGCTGTTCTTGTTGTTGTTGCTGTTCTTGTTGTTGTTGCTGCCGTCACGGCGACTGCCGCCGCACGAGGCGTGTCGCTGGAAACCCCCTGCGAGGAGTCTCCGTGCGGGCAGCGCGCAGCCTGCACGGCAGGGGGCGGCCCTCGCCTCGCCCCGCGTCTCTCGCTCGGTGCTGATGATGCTGCCGCTAAACTCCCTCTTGGGTTGCCAGCGGCGCACAAATCGCTCCTTCAGAGTTATTAACAAACACTGTGCAGCCTTAAAAGGAAACATACAAAAAGCGACGTTTCGGGCAACCCCCCTTCATTGATCAATGTGCTATGAAGAAGGGACATTGCCCAAAACGTCGCCTATTTTGTGTCATTGTCAGGCGGTGTTACTAAGTTTGTATTGAGTCTCATCTGGGTTTAAACTCTCTGTGCGTGTATACGGGTTGTGTGCGTTTACATATATCGTGGCGAATATCTCAACCGGTCCTGAGCCTCCCCTAGGTCGACTCGGCCTCAAATTAGTACTTCGCTTCGATGTGCAAACATCGCCACTAGGGAGACAAAGGCGGACGGTTGTGGTACCACCCACCTCGCGTGCCGTGACGGCCTTAATAGGCGCTCGCTAACAGCAGCAGCAGCACGATATAGGGGACTCTTCGTCTTTGTTTGCGTGTGAAATAGTTTAATTGTTACAACAACAATCTGAGTATGTCCTGTAAGGTCGTCGTTCTTCAAAGCTGGCAACGGATGCCACCGTGGCGGCAGTGAATGTCGCGGGTCTCACGGAGCCTGGGATCCCACCAACACTGCCTTGAGCTGTCACACGCAGCCGCTGGTGGTGTCAGTACCGGTGCCGGCACTCCCAGCACGCGGCTGGATGAAGACCTCTCAATACAGACTGAGTCGATGAGTGGCGACTGTTCGAGAATATTTCGCCAGGCTGGTCAGTGCGGGTTGGTGCAGGAGGCGGGGAACCCAGAACCTCTTCAGATATCGCGACCGCTGATACAGCAGCCACAGGCCGGAGTCGAACCCAAACTCACAGGGGTCATGGCCCAGAGCCCAGACCTTTGCGCCACTGCTACTACCAACAGCACAGCACACACAGAGTGTACACATGGCTCTGATAGTGTGTTAGGTATATATCTTAGTGTATATCATTCATGAAACTCAAAGAGCGATATTTGATCAACTGAACGATGTGTAAAGGTACGCAATGAAGATGTTTGAGCTCCCCCCTTCAGTTCGAAGCAACCAGGGCGGTGAAGTATGGTCCAACAACCTCATGAATTATACGAAATGATACATTTAAAGTATTGAATTGACATTATGAATGCAACTCTTGAGATTGTCAGTAGTTACCCTTTAATATGAGGGTCCAGGACGTACACATGAAAACCACGTCTGATGGATTTTCAGCTGAATATCTGAAATATGTTGGGAAGGGTGGATGCATGGTGATGTTTGTAGTTTCGTGGAATGGTGATGAAAATTGCGAATTGTACGTGCAGCTAAATATAAACTATATATGGATCACTGTGTGCCACACGACTGACCTGTAATGCTTTACAGTACTGTGGTTACATCCTGCACTGGAGCCTACAGGGGATATTTCCGCATAGTTTACCTGGATTGTGTGAGGAAATGGCTGTGCTGAGAACAGCAGCTGCCATGGAGTTACCGAGAAAGAAAAGGGAAGCAAATTGAGATACAGAAAAAGTAAAGTCGCAACCTCGTTGTCCTTGGCCTCATGACCTCACGCTTGGTGACTTATCCTGTGCTGATGAGTCCTAATAATGAAAAAAACTGGTCCACAGTTGTCTACCCCTGTCTCACGACTGCCTGTCTTGTTGAGAATGCACACACAGTAGGACTGTGTGCTACGTACACGTTTCGGGAATTTGTCGTTTGAAACGCGTGCTTTTCCAGCCTGCACGTCGATCCTGTCATAATGGGGGTTTCTCGTAATTTACAGATTTGATTCTAGTCACGTGATCCAACATTAACTATTCGTGGCCTTTCATTCTGCAAATCTCTGCAAGCTACATAAAAAAGCAATGCCATTAACATTGCCTTTTTATGGTGGCCCTTTTTTCTGTTGTTAGGTGGTATTGATGGCGAACATGGTAAAAAATACTAATCTACATTTCTATTTGTACACCACTGCCAACACAGTCCCGAACATAAGTACTCTGTTATCCATGGAACATGACATACGTGTTGACATTGAAAGTATAGAATATGTGCCTGTATGTGTAAACTTTGTGTTTGTGGCGAGCTAACTTCTGCAGTTAAAATGTTTCCACTTCTCGATATTGACATTTGCTTATTTTTATATGATCTGATAACTTGCAATGAAATATGTTCTCATTGCCTCGAGTTCTTCAACTTTACTTAAATAAATCAAAACAGCTGAGTTCCAAGAAAAGATATTTGTCATTTCGGTGTGCCCTCGCATGATAAAACAAAGGCAATTGAAATTAACTTCAGTGAAACAGAATTTGATCATAGAGATTGCATTTATATGGAGTTTTATGCCTCCGGCACTCATAGCTGTGAGGCACAAGGTTACACAGCAACGGTCTACAAGTGGGCATTAGTGTGCTTGTAGGGGGCGATGTTGCTCTTGGTTATTCCAATGAAGACATTTTTCTAATTTGGACTGTGATGGCCGACTTTTTGTCCATGTTTCAAGATATTTAACGTCCACTATGAACCAAACAATGCTGATTATTTTGGGTTATTTATCGTTGATACACCTGGGGTATTAACCAGGGCAGCCTGTCGGAGTCAAACCAAGAACCTCTGCAACAAGCGGTGACCGCGCTACTATTTGACTTCCTGCTTGACTCCAAGCGGAAAGTCAGCCTTGCCACGCATCAGTGCCCTCACCGCTCGTTTCCCGCTGCTGCCCCGTGATGGCCACCCTGATGCGCAATGTCGCGGCGGCAGGTGCTGCACACGATGGAAGAGACGACCACCGCTCCTTCGCAAGGCGCCGGCAGCCACAGGGGGCGCACAGGCTTTCTGCAGGCGGCGGTGCTGCCGGCGCTGGTGGTGTGCCTGGCTCTGGCAGTGCTCGGCTGTGCTGTCACCCTCACCCGCAGGAACAACGCCACTTTGATAGGTGCGGGCGGTGGGATTGGGGTCAGGTGGGCAGTACAGTAAGCGATTGACAGTGAAGTTTTGCGAGAGTATAAAGCCTCGCCGCATTCATCAACAATGTCGCTTTACACCGGGATGTGTTGGGCAGAGGCTTTGCAGAAAGATTGACTGGTACTTGAAAAATTCTGGAACTTATATTGTGGGGCCCTAAGAATATTGAGACGTGAAACGAACGAACACACCCCTCCTACAGCTGTCCTTCAACTCGCATTGACAAGAGTGGTGAATGATGGTCAAATTACCGCACATTTAATTATCAAATAATTTATGATGTTTAACTACACTGGAACTGTATATTGGGCTGCCCAGAGGTTCCTGGAAGCCCAGGGCAGAATGCCACTTGTTTTTTCACTTTGCAATAAAAACACAGGCGCGTTGTGTAGCCCACCGATATGTGAGGCCCAGAGGAAATTTCCTATTTAGCCTCCCATTCTGGACACCCCGACTGCATAGCCTTACGCAGACTACACCAGTTAAATACAATTACGATATGTGCAAATCTTGTGAAATAGCCACTCTCCGTTCATTATTACTCACAATTGAACTAATAATCGATTGAATAATACACAAGATTGGGAGTATTTTCATTGGCTGTATTGCTCAGCATTGGCGTATGAGTAATTGGTGCTTGTCTGATGCGACACTGGAGAGCGGTGGTCCTCAACCACTTTGGCATGGCGCCCCCCTCCCCCCCCGAAACCAGACCACCGGTCCCTGTGCTCGCCCCCCCAGCCTCAGATACACAACTAAGGATAGTGAGGTCAAAGTATGCATACGCAGAGAGACCGCATGTCCACGCCTCCAGTCACCTGGCGTTGGCCAGGCCTTTTATTCATGTCGTCGCCATGGTTATCGACGACAGGGAAGGAGCCGGCGCAGGTGTGCACGACGTGGGAATGCGTGCGTGCGGCGAGCGACGTGCTGAGCTCCATGGACCTCGCCGTGGACCCCTGCGAGGACTTCTACTCCTACGCCTGCGGGGAGTGGGGCCGTCACAACCCCCTGCCCAGCGGCATGTACCAGTGGGGCAGCGCGGACGTTGTGCGCAGGAGAACACTGGGGCAGCTGCACAGGGCACTGGGTGAGAGGCGCTTGTGCCGGGCTACGTGCACTTTGAGACCACGAGACGTGTCGAAGGCTCGCCGCCATTGTTGCTGGAGACGACTGCCTCCAACTGCCCAGTAGCGTCCTTCACGAGCCTCCTCCACAAAGGCCGATTTTGACACCAGTAATTGGCAAGTCCAGTCAGTTCCACATCTTTCCATACTGCATCAACCCATCTCTTCTCCAGCCTGAGCCTTGCCTGTTTAGCCTGCTCTATTCAGCCAAACAAGCTGCTTGGGCATGCAGTCGCTGGGTATGTGGCCTACGCCTGCCAGAGGAGCTCACTGATGGGACTGCGTCCAGATCTTTCATGGATCTTTGAGCTTCCAGACAAATCAGCCTGGTTCAACCCAGAAGGGATTGTAGACAGGCCAGCCTGAACGTTTTGAGCCGTTGGAGATGTTTCTGTAAGGTCTTCCACATTTCGAAAGCATAGAGAAGGGAGGGATTAATAGTGACCAACAAGACCTAGAGCTTTGTACGGAGCGATAGGCCAGGAATGTGAAATTTCCACCACTGGCTCAGGGCTGTAAACTGGAGATAATCACCGCTTCAATTATTATTTGAGCAGGAAATCACTGACATCAATATTGTTACCATTATGTCTCTCCGTAGATAACACCGACATTCGGAACACCTCGGCCAAGTGGAAGGCCCATGTTTTCTACCACTCCTGCATGAACAAAGAATCGATCAAGAGAAGAGGCAATCAGCCTCTGCTTGACATCATCGCTGATATTAATGTACGCTTTGTATGAGAGGCCTGCATTCTGCCACATGACTGTCACTTGTTAAAACCTATGACAAAATTACCTGCAATGCACTAGATCTCATGAGATCTCAGAAGCTAAGCAGGGTTGAGCCTGGATTGTGCTTGCATGGGCGATGACCGTGCGCAACAGTTTGTTTTGGGCTGCGTGCTGGGAAGTAGAGGGCAGTCCAGCGAAATCAATTGTTGTACTGTACTTCTACGCTCCAGCATCTACGCTTCCCGCTTTCACCATCCCGCACTGACCAGTGTTGGGTCGTATGGTCCAATAACTCCATGACCTGTACGGAGTGGGGAACCCGTCAACCAGTCGTGGATTAACAAAAGGGCTGTATATGTACCATTGCTTGTTGACCCCAATGGAAGAGATTTTGAGTTCTGAGCTGGAGAAACAACGTGTTTAGGGGTGGTGACGTGGCCCAGTGGTAGCGCATTTGTCGCTTTTTGTAGAGGTTCATGGTCCTCATCCGGTAGCCCGCCCTGGTTAATACTGCGGATGTGTTAACTATAAAATATGCAAAGTCTGCTTCACAGTGACGTTAAAGATCTCAGCATTATTTGAAACGAGGAGGACAATGTGTGCCAGCATCATGGTCAACATGTGAAATTACTGCAGACCATGTCTGTGAAACAAAGCACGTTCATAGTGGCCTTGTGCTACAAGAATTGTGCAAATACCAAATGCACTAAATTGTTATTGTCTGTAAGTGAGTTAGGAGCCCCGCATCTCACAAAATAATATTTTTTTCTGCGAAGAAAAACTTCCCGTTTTCAAACCAAACGGAAGCTGTGCTGAGGAAGCTGCACTTGGTGTACGGGGTCTCCCCGTTCTTCACTCTGAGGGTCATGCCGGACCCCACCGACTCTCAACGCAGCGTGCTGTTTGTGAGTGGCCCGGCACAACCACGCTGCACGTTCGCTCATGGGCTGTCGCTACCTCGCCTCGCCACTTCCTGTCTGAAACGGCCTCCGCCTGGTCCTCAGCACTGCCTCCCCCTCTCCAGATTCTGGCTCAAGTCCTTTCTCTTTGGCTCCATCAGTGACTGCTGCCTTTCCATAATCTACCCCTCCATTTTCTCCCACCATTGATGCCCATCGGTGATTCTGATGCAGTGCTTGCGCCGAATATAATACCAAGCGTGCACCTCTCTGTTCTTCTTTTGTGCACTTTTAAATTATATTTATTTATTTATCTTTGTCATGTCCCGTATGCTGATCCATAAGTCATAGCAGGTGATAATCTTTATACATATTAAGAAAAACAGCGGAGCTCTAACTGTTTTCTATGTTGCGAATGCGTTTACACTTTGCTGCCGTTCCAGTTTTCCCAGCCTGAACTTGGACTTCCATCGCATGAACATTTTCTCAACAAAACCCCAATCGACAGCAAGGTGTGGGAGCACTAAAATACCAGTGGCACTCTTGGCAATAATTTGTGTATAGAATCGTAAGATAGTGATAATTAGACTTGCATATCATAATCCAGCAAAGAAGGCAGTTCGGAAAAGTCCGCAACCACGTGCAAATACACACTGACGTTCCAGAGTACGTCATTTTTTATTCTGCATGGGATCAATGCTGCAGCCTGCCAGAGGAGGGGGGCGATAGGAGCCATCAATCCCCCCCTCCTTTAGACCCCAAAAATTGGTATTTTATTGATATCAGTGGAAATGTATTGAAAGTTTTTTTGTTCATTGATGTAGGGCGCAATATTTAAACAGCTTATGTCAGGACCTGGGAAGTTTTTAGACCCCCCTGCAGCTTGCAGCCCCCCACCGAGAGGCTGTGACGCTCCTCTGGAGGGGGGCTCGACCCACGGGGTTGGGAACCGCTGATATTGTCGCTGAATAAATAGAAATTGCGTTGCTGCTGTTGTGGAAGTCTCGAGGAAGTGACCTGCGGACGTGTGTACGACGCAGGTGCTGCAGCTCTACCTCGGGTATATGACTGACGTCGAGCGACTGCTGGGGATGCCCGAGGATGAAGACTCGAAGGGGGGCATCGCCTCTCGGAGACGGCTGACTGAGGCCCTGAGGGTTGAGTCCAGCCTGGCAGCCATATTCAACGAGCGGGGCGACCTCGACGACCCGGAGAAAGTGCACAATGTGACTCTGCAAGATATGCAGGTGAATGTGTCGGCCCAGTCCGCGTGTGTGTGTCCATGTGTGTGGATGTGTGTGTGTCCGTTTGTGTGTCCGTGTGTGTATGGGCTGCAGTGGATAGCGCACTATGCTATGAACCCAGTGACCCGAGTTTGATTCTCACTTACGACCAACACCAGTAACGATTATCTGAACCGGTCCTGGGTCTCCCCTTGGTGGACTCGGCCTCAATAGAGTACCTGGTGTGGTGTGTAAACAACGCCACTAGGGAGACAAAGGCGGCTAAGCGTGATGCTGGACACCACCCCCTCATTTGCCTTGTCGGCCTTCATGGAGGCTCAATAACAGCACTCATTAAAATGGTTTCCACACCTTCAGTGGGGATCTTAGTCTTCGTTGCTTGGAACCACCAGTCCATCCAACCTTTTAGAAGGACGTAAATATTTTACTTTCCTAACAATCTCTAACCACATGGAATTGCACGTATTTATCACACTTGAATCTGGAAAGTGACTGGTTTCGCTCTTCTGTATTCTCAAACCAACAGATCTTGGTGAGCCACATCGACTGGGTGGCTTATTTGCAAGCAATCTTTGTCCCGTTCGCCTTCACTCTGCACGACAAGATCATCACACCTACCCTGGAGTACTTTAAGAAACTCGACAAAGTCCTTAACAGCAGCAGCGAAAGGTGTGATCACTTTTGCACTTGAAAGCCAGAGGTCGGAGGTTCAATTCCATCTCCCGGCATGGCAGTTCAAAAAATGAGAGCGAGTTTCTTAAACCCCCCACTGCCACCTCTGTCCACCCAGCAGCAGCAGAGTTAATGGATTCACACACCAGAGCCAGCCAATGGGCCGCGTGTGGTGGGGTAAAGTGTGGGTACTCCCACCTCTTCCAAGGTGCCTGATTTACGTGGGAGAGTGGACAAGACACCTTCTAGAGTTTACTCCACTGGAGGGCCCTTCCAGCAGAAGTGTCATGAGCGAGCAGTTGTAGGGATGCACTTACCAACATATCTCGACGAACAGCTCACAAAGATTACAGCCCTTAGAGGCCTTTATTTACTTTATATTCCCTGAAAAGAGTTGTATGTTAATTCAAACAATGTTATCCAACTGCAGAGCTGATATAAACCGAAATTAAGTGTTTTTTTAAAAGTGATTTTTGTTTTAAGGATTCAGGATTGGGCTGAGACTATTCACTCACTGCGCGAGAGAACTCGACTTAATCAGATTGGATGAAACCAACGTTTAAACTCAAGATCTTAGCATTACCGCCTCAGTGCTCTGACATGGGCATTATGAGCCCCCTGAGCTACAGGCCACGTTAACTATGTCGTCTTCATGCCTCTGTCTCCATGTTTCACAGAGAAACTCGCCCATGTATTGTTGTATTAACCATGCTGGTCGCATCGATATCTTGAGCAAAACAATATTTGCAGCGGAGTAGAAGCTACTTCAAAAGTGAAACAAACTGAAAATCAAGTGTATGCTATATTCCAAGTACATGTTCGCTTCATTTCTCGAAAGTAAAAATATTGCGTAAAAAATAGTGCACGGACATGTGTTCGTCCCAAGTCGTACAAGTTCTGTGGTATCGACCGTTCTCCCGACAGTGACTTGCGGGACTACATCATCTGGAGTCTGGTGCGAAAGCTCTCGCAGAATCTGGATGGCAGATTTGAGGATGCCAAGAGGGATCTGAACGAGGCCCTCTACGGCGCCGACAGGGTGAGTCTTCTCACTCACATCCAAATCACAGCAATCACCATCTCTCCATTTATACGGCTTTTGCTTAAATGCCTCAGCAACTCCAGCCCCTCCCATCTCATCCCACACACAAGGTGACTGAGCGCCGACTTACAAGTGGGCGTTAGTTTGCCAGTAGACGGCAATGATTGAGTAAGTATTTATTTCCTCCAGAATGAGCTGGGTGTTGTACTGCTTTACAGTGGCGGCTCCTGCAAAATCTCTCAGGGGGGGCAAATGTCTGGATGATTGATAAGGATAAGGTCCACCCATGCAATGAATAAATTAACAGCTTAAGCATGTAAAGGCAACTTCACTTCTTTAATATTAATGAAAAATAAAGTGACTCTTACAATACATCTTGTTTGTTTATATACTCACTATTAAAACAAACCACTCAAGTTATTTTATTAAAGATTCCACTAGGTGGCGATAAATTATATTGTTGGTTGAAACGTGCTTACGTATGATGACGTTAGCACGTATGATGACGTAAGCACGTTAGTGCATGCCCTCCCGGAAGCCATAGAGAATGCATTGCAGCGCCCCCGTTCGAAAAAAAACATCTTTGAATGTAAGTCTATGGGGCCACTCGGGGCGATTCTCAGCCGGAGTGAAATCGCCCAAAAAGAGGCGGTACTCCACAGAACGTGACATGACGCTGATTGGACTATATCCAGAGGCTGACAGTGACGGCTAGCGTGACTCTGTGGTTGAATGGCATTGGTGGTGCGTCGCCCAATCGCCCTAATGAAGAAACCGCCCCTGCTGCTTTACCTGTTACAAGAAGGAGTCGGCATGGCTCAGATCCTAGATTAAAATCCTGGGCTTCCACCTCTTATGAGAGAGATTACACAGGGAGGAAGGGGGGGAATATGGGGGCGGTGGCGGAGAGATGTTGGGTGGACGACTGCCCATAGGGACTTGGGTTTCCTGTGAGTAGCAATATTTTAGACTGGGGGTTCCAACGTCATTTCACTTTCCAACAAAGCCTTCTATTGACTTATTTTCATATTCTCATTCGCATGTCCTGCCACCAGCCGTGTTTATCCAGTATCAGGAATGTGATGATGACGATGACGACGATGATGACGATGATGATGACGACGATGATGATGACGATGATGACGACGATGATGACGACGATGCGGCCCGGTCTGTAGCCCCAGGATGCTCCTCCACGGTGCACGGGTCCTTCAGTGTGTGTTGTTGTGACCTGTGGTGTGGTGAGTGAGTGGGTGAGTGAGTGTGTTGTTGTGACCTGCGGTGTGGTGAGTGAGTGGGTGAGTGTGTTGTTGTGACCTGCGGTGTGGTGAGTGAGTGAGTGGGTGAGTGTGTTGTTGTGACCTGCGGTGTGGTGAGTGAGTGGGGGAGTGAGTGTGTTGTTGTGATCTGCGGTGGGGTGAGTGCGTGGGGGAGTGAGTGTGTTGTTGTGACCTGCGGTATGGTGAGTGAGTGGGTGAGTGAGTGTGTTGTTGTGACCTGCGGTATGGTGAGTGAGTGGGTGAGTGAGTGTGTTGTTGTGACCTGTGGTGAGTGAGTGGGTGAGTGAGTGTGTTGTTGTGACCTGCGGTATGGTGAGTGAGTGGGTGAGTGAGTGTGTTGTTGTGACCTGCGGTGTGGTGAGTGAGTGGGGGAATGAGTGTGTTGTTGTGACCTGCAGTATGGTGAGTGAGTGGGTGAGTGAGTGTGTTGTTGTGACCTGCGGTGTGGTGAGTGAGTGGGTGAGTGAGTGTGTTGTTGTGACCTGCGGTGTGGTGAGTGAGTGGGGGAGTGAGTGTGTTGTTGTGACCTGCGGTATGGTGAGTGAGTGGGTGAGTGAGTGTGTTGTTGTGACCTGCGGTGTGGTGAGTGAGTGGGGGAGTGAGTGTGTTGTTGTGACCTGCGGTGTGGTGAGTGAGTGAGTGGGTGAGTGTGTTGTTGTGATCTGCGGTATGGTGAGTGAGTGGGTGAGTGAGTGTGTTGTTGTGACCTGTGGTGTGGTGAGTGAGTGGGTGAGTGAGTGTGTTGATGTGACATGCGGTGTGGTGAGTGAGTGGGTGAGTGAGTGTGTTGTTGTGACCTGCAGTATGGTGAGTGAATGGGTGAGTGAGTGTGTTGTTGTGACCTGCAGTATGGTGAGTGAATGGGTGAGTGAGTGTGTTGTTGTGACCTGCAGTATGGTGAGTGAGTGGGGGAGTGAGTGTGTTGTTGTGACCTGCAGTATGGTGAGTGAGTGGGGGAGTGAGTGTGTTGTTGTGACCTGCGGTGTGGTGAGTGAGTGGGGGAGTGAGTGTGTTGTTGTGACCTGCGGTATGGTGAGTGAGTGGGTGAGTGAGTGTGTTGTTGTGACCTGCAGCAAGGTGCTTGAACAGTGTGGATGAGATGAAACAGTGTCTGGGTTGAGGAATCAAAAAGTTCACTGACACAAGAGCTACTGTATGGCAGTAGCAATAGAAGAGTGATTACCCAATTTATTGCCGGTGAGTGAGCAAGTGGAGTGAATCGGCGAGTTGCTGCATTATCACTCAACCCGACTGCTTTAGGTTGCATCCTATGGAGTAACGGCGCATTTGCCTGCGGTGTGCCAGGGCGGGTTTGTGCCGCGGTGGGAGTTCTGCGTGGAGCAGACAAGCAGGGCTGTGGGCTTTGGCCTGGGCTTGCTCTACGTGGAATACGTCGGCTTCAACAGCACCCACAAGATTCAGGTCACCCTCGCACACGAGACTCACTATCTTATTCGGTTCGCGCTGTGTGTGAAATCAGAATCTTTATTTAGACTGGAGGAGGAGTCTGATGAGCTATGAAGCTTTTTTTCACAGATGTCCAGCAGGGGCGGGTCAGAAAGTTGTGAAAATAAACAATACAAAAAAAATAGGAGTGCAAATTAGAGAAAGGGCAAGCAGATCACTAAAATAAATAGACAAACAAGTACAAATCCAGCAGCAAGTACAGAAATTCCTGCCGGATTTTCAACTCTAAATGTAAGGTCGAGCAAGGCAGCAAAACAACAACAAAAACAGTCACAGACCACACCAAGATAACAACACACAGTCCCTCAATTAAATTTCACATTAAAATTGAGCTAGCGATACACGGATAAGGATCAAAGTTCCAAATCACATTTGCAAATGTGTCCAGCATTAAGTCAATACAGTGACAACTCTCTCTGTTCCAACTCTCAGGTGGAAAAATTAATCAAGAACCTGTCTGCAGTCTATAAGGATACCATAGACCAACTCAACTGGATGGACAACGTCACGAGCGGGTTTGCAAAGGAGAAGGCGAGTACTACATTGGTCAATTTGAACTGTGACGCCAGCACACAATGGCCTGCTGATATTTTCGAATGACATCACGGGATATTTAGCACCCACTGTCATGCAGATGGGCCCGTATTTTAAAAGTTAATACACCCATAATAATAGCCAGGGTAGCCTACCCAGTTCGAACTGCAAACTTCTGCAGAGAGTGGCAAACTCTGGGCCACATCGCGCCCCAGTAGCGTGCGGGACACATGCATCAGCTCTGACAGGTGTCTGGCTTCTTTTTACTGCAGCTGGACTCGATTATCTTACATGTGGGTTACCCACTGTCTGATGACCTGTACCCTGCAATCACCGACTCAAGCTACATGGATGTAAGTCTTCAGTTTCTGTGTGAAAAGACACCACACATGCTTTATAATATTACCATTTTTTAAATAGTAATATAAATTCCTAATTGACTCAGGAAAGCCAAGCTGATTCCAAAGAATATTTTCAGGAGGATCTTGCTACATTGGGATGTTTGGCCAACACCAACGACATTGTGTGTGTGTGTGTGTGTTTTGCTCTGAGGGGAAACCATAAAACCTGGGGGAACCATGCAGAACAGAAAGTTGCCCAAATCAGGAATCAAACTCAGGTCCTTCTTGTCGTGAGGCACAGGTGTTGCTACTGTGCTACCCTTCTGCCCAGATAACTGTAAAAAAAAAGAGATCACTGTTGAAATTTTGTGGATGGGTTGTAGCAGGGAACCCTTGAACAATGGGCAAGTTTCCTTCTCTTCCAAGAATTCTGGAGTAACAAAGGCAGGTGAACCTTCAGCAACCCTTGGATAATGCCTGAACATGCAACATGTTATTGCGATTTAACAAGTAGGCTCTCGCGACCAGTATTATTCATAATAAAGGTGTTTGGGTTAGATCGCGTTGTTTATAAATGTGTCGCAACCCTCCACCACCCGACACGGCCAATCAGTAAAAAATGTGTCACGTTGACAAAAGACAAATAGTTCACTACCTTAGCCCACCGGTGTGTTGAAGAGTGAATCCACAACATTTACAATTTGAGTACGACGTTTCGCTGGAAATTAAGTCCGGCATCTTCGATCAGAGGCGGAGGTGGGGGTGTATGCAATTATGTAATAGATCAGTAATCAGCCACTTAGCATGTGACTCACCTGTAAGGAATTGCAATGTGTGTTCTGTTTTATTATTAATACGCTTCCAGGCTGCGCGGAGTCTGTAGCTATCACAGCGGTTGAAATTATTTGAATTCTTCTCAATTTCGATTTTTGTCTTTTGTCAATGTGACACAATTTTGCTGATTTACCGTGTCGGGTGGTGGAGGGTTGTGACACATTTATAAATAACGCGATCTAACCCAAAAACCTTTATTATGTTATTGTGATAGTGTAGCTACTATGGAAGCAGTTTTAGCCAATGTGTGTTGCTTGATTTGATGATGTATTTCATTTCACAGCTGACCTTGACGGATGATTATTTCCAAAACATGCTGAACTACTACGGGTTTGAGATGAAGAGCATGAAGACGGCTTATAATCGGGGCCAGGACACACACAAGTGAGTACACGTCTCAAGGTGCCGTTCGCGATCACCAATGCGACAGATATCTGAATGAGTCCTGGGTCCCACCATCATCAACACGCACTAACCAGCGTGGTGAAGTATGCTTCTACAACTTTCACGACCGGCATGCCGTGTGGAGGCCTTCATCCAGTAGTGAATGGACAAAGGGCTGTGCTGGCCAGGAGACGTAGCAGCGGTTAGAGTGCATGCCTCCTCGCAGTCGGGAGGTTTTGAGTTAAAATCCCAGAATGGAGCTCAACTCAGCCCTTCACTGCCACAGGGTCGATATCACGAGCATTGCTTGGTAGGAAAGTTAACTGTGGTTGATCTGTGGATTAACCGGTCCCCACCATAGTAACGTGGAACTTCTGCTGGCTCAGGGGCTGTGAACAGGACTGAGAAGTGCCCAACGTTTAAATGGGGATGCTACTTGTTGACTCTGTAAAACACAAACTGGACGCTGTAATGGGCCCGGTGGTCGATTGCGATGTGTTGACTGTACCAGTGTCACCTTCCTGTGGCTACCACGCTAAGCAGCACGACTGCTTCACAGCCTCCCCTGTCTGAGTCCATCCTTCCGTTGGCCCCTCAGATGGACCATGACCCCACAGACCGTGGAAGCTGACTACAACGTTTACTTCAACCAGATCATTGTGCCGGCCGCGGTGGCACAGCCTCCCTTCTACAGCACCAAAAACCTTCAGTGAGTGTTGTTGTTGTTGCGCTTGTTGATCCAGGAACGCCTCACCGAGTCTCAGTCCTGCCAAGGTTTCCCAGGAGGAGGCGACAACTTCTATGATTTTTTTAAAGTCATTTGGCATATTTGAACCGTTACATAAGCACACAATGGCCTACTCCTCTTCGAATAACATCACGAGATCTCTTAACATCTAACGTGAAGCAGAGAGTGCATATTTCGTGGTTAATGCACCCGCAGTAGTAATAAGCGTGGCTTGCCGGATTCGAATCCTGAACCTCTGCAACAAGCGGCGAATCCCCCAAATGTTGGGCTGCATCAGGGCCCCTTAACGTTGAAGGCAATCCGTGGACCTTCACGTGCATAGCTCACCAAGCCCATCGCACTATACCGGCCGTCTCGGTCAGACACTGATTATAAAGTGGTCATCTGGAATTCGCTCCGTACTGGTTTGACTGGTGCTGGTGATGGAGTGTTCATTAAACAAAATGTCACGGTTGCGTTGTGATTTAATTTAGTTGACCTTTGGGAGTGGAACAATGACGTTGGCTGAGTTTTCTGTTCTGGGCATGTTTTGCTCTGTCTAGGTTTGTGAACCATGCAGCCATTGGGACGATGATCGCTCACGAGCTGGTGCACGCGTTCGACACACGCGGTAAGCGGCCGTCTTGCTGCTCCCTGCAAGGGAGAACGGCCCTTGGACTCAAATTCACGGTTACAGGGAGCAACGTTTCTGCCTTTCCCCCCCAATGTTCCAACTGTGCTGTTGGCGTCACATCACGACATAAAGTATTTATTCAGAACTCGTGCAGTGCTTCATCTCGTGTTAAAAAAAAGCCTATGGAAGTCAACATCACAGAACTACTTCAGAGATCCCTTCAACTGACCTCTTGTTCACACTCGGTGTGCTGCACGTCTCACATGCCCTGCTGTAGCGAAGCGCCGTCACCCCTGAGCCACATGGTTACCGCCTGTGGATAAATTAAAAGCAGGCAGTGAGTGAATGTGTTTAATGAATTATCGACCGAGTGTATGAGAAATGTAATGTGTGCATGAATGAGTTAATGGGTCCTTTCCTAGGCCTCACCCACTGTCTGCCACCCCGCCGCCCCCACGAACCTCTTGCGCTGCCCGCACCGCCGCTCGAAGCGCAAAACTAAATTAAACTAAGTGACGCCTAATTAAAGGAAGCCTCAACAGGGGAGGGAGACGAGCTCCAAAGATTGCATGGTTGTGACGTAAAGGAGCAGGGACCGGCTTTGACTACCGGTCACCGGAATTCACGGTCGCCTTGTGTCACTTGCACTGCAGGCAGCCACTACAACTACAAGGGCACCTTGACGGAGTGGTGGACGCCCACCACGCGGAAACGGTTTGAGGAGAAGGCCGGCTGCTTTGAGCGGCAGTACGGGGCCTACGAGGAGCAGGGGTGGCACGTGGACGGGCACCGCACCCTCGGGGAGAACATCGCCGACAATGGAGGCCTGCACGTCGCCTTCCAGGTGCGTCCCGTCGTGGGCGGTGCCATCATTTTACGACTTACCTCGTGATGGAGAGGAGTGGCAGGGGCTGGAGGGGCGTGGGCTGAAGTGACAACGCAGATGTGAAGGCGCCGTAGCAGAGGTGATGGGACATTTGGCAATGGCGTGTGACATGTGGACAATGGGGGTTCAAATCCCCATCAGATTTAATTGGTTGGTACCCTCTCGGCAACCTAACCGAGAGCCTTTAAACTTTGTTTTACATTTAGAATACCTTATAACAACACAACTCAGCACTGACCTGAAAGTGAGCATTTGTCGGTCATCTCAATTGAGTGATTTGCAGTGAAATTTCTATAATGTGGACCATGAACCTGCCACACCACGGCCTGCCCATCTTGATTGATGTCACGGGGTCTGTAACGTCCACTGGTAAGTGGACGGGCACATGGTATTTTACAGTTGACGCCCCTGAACTAATAACCAGGGCGGCATGCCGGGTTCGAGTTGCAAACCTTTGCAACAAGTATCGCTAGCGTTAGCACTAACACTAGGCCGTGTCATGGGAATCCCTTGGTGACAGGGCAGTAGCTTTGCATGTGCGTGCGGCGACACCCACAGGCGTACGAGAACTATGTGGGCAAGTACGGCGAGGAGGAGGTCCTGCCGGCCATGAACTTCACCAACCGCCAGCTTTTCTTCATCATCTACGCCCAGGTGCGTCCACACACAGACCGGGTTGGTGGGTCATGCTGGGATAGGGCTGTGATGGATGTGAGTTGCCGGCTTGGACAACCAGGTGGCACGTTTAGTAGACCAAGACACATTGGGATCTATCTGTGCCCAGCCTTAAGCTCTGTCTGCTGTGTACTTAGCGCCGATTGCCCAGACGAGTAATGGCCGTCACTGTGGAGGCACTAAAACAGCCCTGCTCGATGGTCGCCGGGGGCTGCCCTGTGCCACGTAGATGCAAATGTAATGATGTTGGTCTGTGCTCTGTGTGCCAGCTGACTTAACATAGATCATAAACAGCTGCTATGATAAAGCCCTGCTGAATGAAGGCCTCCTCAAGCCCCCGCCACTGCTCACGATCTTGCGATGTCACAATCATTATATAAACACCATGTATTCCCCATAAGTACCCAGCTCTATCATAAAATGAACACCAACTAGGGTTTCCAATGGAGAAACTGGCTTTCACATCCCATATGATTGATAATTGCTTTATTTTGGATAGATTGTGTAAGTATAAGGTCAGTTTGAGCTATGCACCCTCTACCACCCGACAAAACCAAGTTGCAAATGCACAAAAATTGTCAAATTGTGCTTGGGCTTTTCAACATGACCGGTTTTCTTTTTTCATAAATTCAATTGGCACATTTTCCCACGTGACAACTTGATTTGTTTGGCTGTGTCGGGTGGTGGAGGGTTAGTGCTCTGATATGATACCCACACGATCAAGCCAAAAATACCTAACTGTATATCAACGTGATTTTTATGTTGATTTGAGCCACGTGCCTCCCGTTTGTGCCGCCATTCGCAGACGTGGTGCTCGGTGCAGACCCCCCAGGCGCTGGAGGAGAGCTTCATGACGGACGACCACAGCCCCCCGCGACTGCGCGTCAAGGGGGCGCTCTCCAACTCCGCCGAGTTCGCCCGGCATTTCGGCTGCAAACTGGGCTCGGCTATGAACCCCGAGAAAAAGTGCCAGATCTGGTGACGCGGCCCGGCCGCCTGGCACTGTCGGACGCGACAAACGCGCTGATCATGGAGCCAGGGATCTGTTGGAAGCGCAGTGGGGTTGGCGCTGCGGTTGGGTGCGGGGAAGAGTTTTTGCAACAACCAAACGAAAGCAGCAACACGATTGGTTGAATTGCATTTAGTGAGTAAATACATGGTATAATTATGCATTAAGATTGTAATTATGCATCAGTCAAATTAATTTGATTCTGATGGTCGGGATACGTGCATCATGCTGTGTGCATGAGAAGAATGTATTGTTTGCGATCCGTGTAATTGTTTCACATGACCCTTGCAGCCACCAGTAGCACTACAGCGCACCGCAGTGATTAGAATCGTGATCGCTGGTCGTAACAAGTCGTCAGGGTGATTTGTTCGTGGTCTAGTGTTCATGCTTAGCGGCCAAATGTAGAATCAGCCTGTTCAGGAGGTATCTTCAGTTTGGATAACTGCTGTTTTCTTCTCCTTATGGATGTTTGCTTTTGTAGGTCTCGGGGCTGGCTCCCTTGCTGAAATGCACTCGAGGGGTCATTTTGTCTCCTCCAATCTTCTTTCAGTATCCTTTGTTTTAAGGATACTGATGAGAGTTGGCCATTGTGTGCCTATGCCAAGGCCAAATCATCAGTCCATCAGGTCATGTGCTTGAACCAAAAAAGGAGGAGGGGCGGCCAGTAGCTGTCTTGGCCTTCATTCCACCACTTTTGGCAGTCGCGGCTGTTTTTTCAGAATTGGTTTTAAACTACAAAACTGAAACTCGTAATTTCATGCTAAACAGAGCCCATTCTGCTACATTTGTGGAATGGGCCAAAGTGAGTGCGATTAGGGTGGGATCGCATCAGTCATGTGGGTGTGTGCATGTGACGCCTCCAGTCCGCAACAAAATTGCACCAAATTTAGTTAAACATGAAGGAAAGATGAATATGAGGATAATGATAAGATTGAAGATGGTCGTGACAGTGACCTGTATGATGATGCCGACCTGAAGTTATAATGAATGCCTTTACAATGTACAAAGGCCAGGCAAACTGCCATACTGGACAAATAATATCAAACTATCCCCCAAGTAGACTATGAAATGAGAAATATGCAAATGCAGACGTGAAGCACACCAAATGACCACTGTTTAATTTATAATAAGATCCTTATAAACAATGCCTGCATCTTTGATATGACTTTTATAGGCTGTAATGAGGTGTTATTATTTAAGACTGACTTGCACTAAATTGCCTGGAGTATTGGTATTGCCTTTCTTGGGGTTTACTTCAGCGAGATCAACTGGTATATTTAAATTCCAGCAAGAACCTCTCAAAGCCAGGCTCATTGGGGGGAGAACCTTTGGGGTTGTATCTGGCATACCGCAAATTATTAAATGAAGTACATGCAGTTGATATCTAAGTTATTAACACTTCATATTAAAATATTTACAATCTCGTAAGAAAAAATAACTACAGTTTAATCTGAGTCATTGCCCATTGCTGGATGTGGAAGGTTGAATGGATTTTGTGATGAGCTTGAAACCCCATGTTTTATTTGTAAAATACATTTTGAAAAAACATGAAAGGGCCACCAACGCACGTGGTGTCCTTGGAAACGGGTTTACAGAATTCCATATAACAGAAAAGCAAAGCACGTGAATAGTGCTTTAGAGTTGGTTTAACACGTCGGCTTTCGCGACCAATTTCCATAAGAGGTTTTTGTGGGTTAGATCGCGTAAATGTCGTTAAACCCACCACCACCTGATTAATATGGCTGTCGCCTGATGAAGCTAGTTATAATTACTGGTGAAACGTCGTACTCTGATTGTAAATGTTGTGGCTTGGCTCTCCAACACACCGGTTATTGCTGTACTCGTGACGAATTGGCACGTTCTGTGTACATGGCAACCCTTACTAGTTGGCCGTGTCGGGTGGTGGCGGGTTTAACGACACAATTATATCTTTACGCGATCTAACCCAAAAAAACCTCATGAGTGCTTTAGAATTGTTAGATCACTTACACCATCTTCACCCGCCAGCAGCTTCCTTAGCCGGCGAGCAGAGTTCTGGTTGGAGGCGTCTTATCTACAAGCAGCACAGTGTTTGAAAAAGGAAGCTTTTTGGATTACCCCAAATCCTGGCCTTATTCGAGTCTGCCTTTGAGAGGTTATACGGTGTTTCACTTTTGTGTGTTTTTTATGGGGGTATGACATTGCATACAAATGGTGTATATTTTACTCTGCAGTGAAGACATGGAAATAAAATAGGACATTAAATGTTTTTATTGCACACTAGCTTTACTACCCGGCTTCGCCCGAGACGTGGATTAATACACGGTCTACGCGGAGGGTGGGGGGGGATGTGTGACGTCAGCAGGCACACTGCGTGACGCTACCGCATGCGGTGACGTCACAGATGTGACACGCATGTGACGTCACCGCTCACTTGCCGTACAACATACAGTATATGCATTATTGCGCCCCCCCCCCCAAATACAAAAGTCTATTTTTATACTTTTTGCATTGTGTACAGTCTGGAAACTACCCACATGCCAAGTTTCAGGTGTATTGCATGTGGGGAAGTATGTAAAACATTTCGAACAGACACATTCACAAATTTCCCTTTTTTTATATAGATTACTTTAAAAAAACATGCCTAGTGACTAACTCGGAGACAGTAAGACTTGGAGGCACTTCTTTATATAGCGAACACCATCGGGATAACACACACACCCTACGTGGGTTCACACTTGTTATACTGGTAGGAACCTGGTTACACCAGCCCACAGGGGATTATTGTGTCCGTCCGTCCGTCGTGCAGGGAGGGGCTGGGTGGAGAGGGAAGGGCTGGGTGGGGAGGGTGGGGAAGGGTGGGGGGTGGGGCTGGGTGGGGAGGGGCTGGTCACCCCGTGGTGCCCTTATAAAACTCAACGTTTAACCTACTCACGCCGGCTTGTGCCCGCCCTCACAGTCGGCCATATTTGCGGAATACACCACGCCGCCGTTGACCCTGGCCATTGACCGAGCAACCCGACGTTCCTACCAGCTCCCTCCGCAGGAATGTTTATTCAGACCGTCTATTGTGGGCGGCACCACTTAGAACCGCTGGTCGGCTGCCTGACGAGCGGCGCCCCGGGAATGGTGAAGACGACGACGACGAGAAGAATGGTGACGACGACGAGATGGTGACGAGGGGCTTGAGCAGCACGACGGCGATCCCACTTCCAGCAACAGCCACGAGGTCCCCCACAGGGCCTCTCGAACTCTCAGCGTGGCCTCACCCCGGCCACGCCGCCTTTGTAGAACCTACCGGCGGATTCCCGATGGGCCCCTTCTGTGACCTTTCCCCGAGATGTCCCCCTCGCGTGTCTCATGGCCTGCTGGCGTCTACTGCCGAACACCGCAGCGGCCATCGCGATGTAGTGCACGTGGTGCAGCGGCCATCGCGATGCCAGTGCACGTGGTGCAGCGGCCATCGCGATGCCAGTGCACGTGGTGCAGCAATGCCGAGCGCGTCACACCCCCCCCACCGCCTACGTGGCCTGAGCCGGCCCAGGGCTCCACAGGGGCGAGGGGACTCCACAGGAGGAAGATCTCGAGTCTGTGGCCAGGCCCAGGGAGGTTGTGGACCGCCACGACTCGGCACCAGGACAATGGGACTAAGAAAATAATTGAAAAGACATGTACAGTGTACAGCTTAATTAAGCCATAGCCCGGGTTATGTATATATATTTAATTAAACAACACACTGGAACTACGACTGTATAACAATTCTCACACATTACAAATCCCGTGGTCCACGGGGCGTGACAGCCACGAGACGCGAGAGGCGTTCCGTGTTCGCCGCGGCGGCCGCGTCGTTGTGCGCCGACTGCAACTGGAGGCGGCGGTGTTTTGTCTTCTCGTCACTTGTGTCCGCTGATTAGTTCTGTAGGTGGTGTTGGTTACTGGGTCATCGTGGCACTGCTGGTAGCTAACTCGTCACGGAGGCGGTGGTTACTGACGAACTCCCATTCCGTGTTGTGGCACTGCTCGTGCGAGCCGGAGTTTCAGTTCTGTTTTAGTGGCGGCGGTGACGGTGGTGGTGGGGGGCGGTGGTGGTGGGGGGCGGTGGTGGTGGGGGGTGGTGGTGGGGGGTGGTGGGGGAGGTGACGGTGGTGGGGGGGGGTGGTGGTGGGGGGGGGGGTGGTGGTGGTGGTGGGGGTGGTGGTGGTGGTGGGGGGTGGTGGTGGTGGTGGGGGGTGGTGGTGGTGGGGAGGGGTGGTGGTGGGGGGTGGTGGTGGTGGGGGGTGGTGGTGGTGGGGGGTGGTGGTGGTGGTGGGGGGTGGTGGTGGTGGGGGGGGGTGGTGGTGGGGGGGGGTGGTGGTGGGGGGGGGGGGGTGGTGGTGGGGGGGGGGTGGTGGTGGGGGGTGGTGGTGGTGGGGGGTGGTGGTGGTGGTGGGGGGTGGTGGTGGTGGGGGGGGGTGGTGGTGGGGGGGGGTGGTGGTGGGGGGGGGGTGGTGGTGGGGGGGGGTGGTGGTGGGGGGTGGTGGTGGTGGGGGGGGGTGGTGGTGGGGGGGGGGTGGTGGTGGGGGGGTGGTGGTGGTGGGGGGGTGGTGGTGGTGGGGGGGGGTGGTGGTGGTGGGGGGGGGTGGTGGTGGGGGGGGGGTGGTGGTGGGGGGGGGGGGTGGTGGTGGGGGGGGTGGTGGTGGGGGGTGGTGGTGGTGGGGGGTGGTGGTGGTGGTGGGGGTGGTGGTGGTGGGGGTGGTGGTGGTGGGGGGGGTGGTGGTGGGGGGGGGTGGTGGTGGGGGGGGGGGGTGGTGGTGGGGGGGGGGGTGGTGGTGGGGGGTGGTGGTGGTGGGGGGTGGTGGTGGTGGTGGGGGGTGGTGGTGGTGGGGGGGGGTGGTGGTGGGGGGGGGTGGTGGTGGGGGGGGGGGTGGTGGTGGGGGGGGGTGGTGGTGGGGGGTGGTGGTGGTGGGGGGGGGTGGTGGTGGTGGGGGGGGGGTGGTGGTGGGGGGGTGGTGGTGGGGGGGGGGTGGTGGTGGGGGGGGGTGGTGGTGGGGGGGGTGGTGGTGGGGGGTGGTGGTGGGGGGGGGTGGTGGTGGTAGGGGGGGGTGGTGGTGGGGGGGGGTGGTGGTGGTGGGGGGGGGGGTGGTGGTGGGGGGGGGTGGTGGTGGGGCTGGGGGGGGCGAGTGAGCGAGGCTGTTTCCGCGTTTGACGCTTGGTGTCCGCTGAGAGCCGTGCAGCTGGCGGTGAGGAGAGAGGATCTCCTCGTTCCACGCGTCACCCCCCTCCTCGTCCTCCCCACACACACGGCGCCTTGCCGCCATGGACATGGAGGATGACGAGGCGATGCTCTCGGTCGACGACGACGTCGCGCGGTTCCCCGAGTCGGAGCTGAGCGTGGACACCGCGGTGAGTGCAAAGTGTCAGTCGGACATCTGCGTTTATATCCAATAATAACTCACAGTCCTGCCGATCCACTCGTGATATTAAACCCATGCACTGTACATGTTTAACGTAGCCAACCGTGTTAACCGGGGACGGACAACTAAACACAGAAATAAGTTCTGAAGAAATTACTTTTCAGTCGATATTTAAAAGTGGATAGCTCCAATGGCTTTGGAATTTCGGAAAGAATGGCATTGCAGACCCCCCACACACATGTCGTGTTGACCATACTTCACCGCGGTGGCTCACCCAGTGATGTTAGAGCCCCGGGGGCCGTCAGCGGGAGGCAGAAACTCGTGGCGCAGTGAGTTAACCACAGCGCCACCGCTCCGCCGTGTGTCCCTACACAAGCCCAGTCGTGCCAGAGTGGCGGAGATTGTAACACAGCAGCAACACGCTCCGTTGACTACAATGGCCTTCTGGGAGTGATCTCTTTCAGCGGGATCGGGTTAATGGAAGCAGACGGCCGGTTTTGACATCGCGTCTCATCGGCACTTTGCGTGGTTGGCGGCGGTGGCGATGAGAGGATTGAGCTGCAGCTGCTGCTGCTCGGGAAAGCCCCGCGCGAGTCGACTTAGCCCCCAGAGGAAGAAGGACGTCTCCCTGAAGGAGGACGTCTCCCTGAAGGAGGACGTCTCCCTGATGGAGGACGTCTCCCTGATGGAGGACGTCTCCCTGATGGAGGACGTCTCCCTGAAGGAGGACGTCTCCCTGAAGGAGGACGTCTCCCTGATGGAGGACGTCTCCCTGATGGAGGACGTCTCCCTGAAGGAGGACGTCTCCCTGAAGGAGGACGTCTCCCTGAAGGAGTACGTCTCCCTGAAGGAGTACGTCTCCCTGAAGGAGTACGTCTCCCTGAAGGAGTACGTCTCCCTGAAGGAGGACGTCTCCCTGAAGGAGGACGTCTCCCTGATGGAGGACGTCTCCCTAATGGAGGACGTCTCCCTGATGGAGGACAACTCCCTGAAGGAGGACGTCTCCCTGAAAGAGTACGTCTCCCTGATGGAGGACGTCTCCCTGATGGAGGACGTCTCGCTGATGTTTAACTGCCCTCGTGTCAAGGACAGACTTCGATTGGCGAACGTTTGGTTTCAGAAATTGACGAATTATGGGCACTTTTCGATTTTCGAAATCGAATTTTCGCGTTCACGAAACGTCACGCGGACCGTGCCGTGAGTCCAAAGAATGCGGCACGCGGGAGGCTCAGGGCACCAGCAACAGGAGGAGGAGGCGCAACGCCTCCACACCGCCCTGACAGTCACGCCAACATGCAGATCTGTCGGCGAGTGCCCTCAAAAGGTTAATTTGTTTTTAATTATTCAATCGTTTTTATATTGATGTGCTTTATTATGATTTTTTTTTTATTGTGAAAAGTGATATAGTTGTATATTTTAGGTTAGGAGTAGCGTTGGAATGACTGTCCGAAACATATCCCTCATTTTTTTACGCGTGTTTTTGAAGAATCCATCCCTTTCGTAAAAATCGAGGGACACCTGCACTGTATTCTCGCCGGTTACACAGTCACATCATTCAGCTTCGTTGGACGTAACTTTGTTGCGTTGTTTATTGTATATTGTAGTTTTGCGTGGAACTAGGAGCCATAGCTAAGCCCTTGCCTGTAAACCTCTGGAAGTTTCCCAGCGTTGGTTCAAGCAAGCCAGCTCTGCTAATGAGACAATGTCAAATCAGGTCTAGCGTTTGCTTGTATTGAACAATGTTGCTGAAGTTATGGCCCCACGTATCTGTATGAGATCGAAATTCATCCGGTCCAGCCATGCAACACTTCTGCAACTGCGTGGTCAAAGATGTTAAAGCGTGTAGGGGCCACAGGACATCCCTGTTACACCCCAAGGTGAATAGAAAATGACTGACTCGTGGCCAGCTTTACCCGGGCCTGCCCGCCATCAAAAATGTCCTGAATGATTGTGAGTAGATGTGGATCGCAGCATAAGCCACCTGTACACAGCCGCAGTGGTATCGTGGTGGTAACGGCTGTGCTGGTTGGTGGATATGGGCAGTGCTAAAAACAAATCACCTATTGTGGGGTGTCATGTTGACTGTTTACCACGGGGAGTTTAGGGGATTTCCAATGGCCTCTACGAACTCTAACCAACGCGACAAACACCATATAAGGCGAGATGCGGGGATACATTTTTTTTTACAAAAGTGCATTCATTTGGGGTGGCAATCCACCTAAAGCGATATTATTTAGTGTAATTAAATGAAATTTACATTTGTAATGCGCATTTCATCCGTAGATACCAATGTGCTGAGTCTGGAAGATAGGGGGTAAACACAAGAAGGGAAAACGGCCAGAATTAGAGGGTATAGGTCAGTTTAAAGAGATGAGTTTTAAAGACAGACTTACATATTCAACGATTTATATTTTTTTGTTAACAAGGCAAAGCGTTCCAAAGCCAGGGAGCTGCATTGGCAAAATCCTGATCATGCGTGATGGGACATTTACATTAACTTTTTTCAGAAATGTCGCCTTTACATTTAATTCTCAAGTACATTTGAAAAGGACCTGCCAAGTTCACGTGGTGACTCAAGTGACCAATTCGACGGTGCCACTTTTATTTAAAGCCAACTTGAGTTGGCCATGGCCTCTGGAGCCTGAAGGAAGTCAGCTTGACTCGTGTTGGCTGTCCAAGGGAACGAGCTCGTGAAGTCTCGTTGTGAGCAAATGCAACGCCGCGAAAGACTTGCAATTCGATGCTGTTGTTTTCAACCATGTTTATTTGATACATTTTTTAAAATCAATAATTGAAATGGCATTGTCTCGTTGCTGATGTTGGTTTGAATCATTTGGCCACAGGATTGAGTCACGTGACCTTTATTAAAACCCTCTGCTGCTAGGCCACCGAGATTTTATGGCTTACCAAAAATCCATAAAGAAGGTACACCACTCCGTCCTTTCGTCTCTACCATTGGCCCACCCACCTACAAACTGGCCCAATTTCTATCTGAGACCTTGCAACCATTCACTGGTAAGACCACCTCAGCTGTACTTAACTCAGCTCACTTGATATCTTCAATTAAGAACATCTCACTATCTCCAGGTGATTTTCTTGTCAGTTTCTACGTGGTATCTTTGTTTACCAAAGTTCCTGTGACCGACACCATTGCAATCATTGAAGATTTGGTCCAACAATGACTGAATGCTGATGTACCAGCCCTGGTTAGACACTGCCTCACCAACACTTACTTCACCTGGAATGAAACATTCTACAAACAAGTTCTTACATTGACATGCTAATCTTTCACAACACAATGGCCACCCCCACAGTTTCGTTTGTCAAGATTTCTTCGATCTTACATTGACATGCAAATTTCATCTCTAGCCCTGCCCACTGACCCTTGGGCTACACCCATCTCAAACCTTTATAACACCCTGCCTTAGCAGCGCTCCCGCCATATATTTTTCGTTCCTCAGCAGCTCTCCCGCTATATTTTTCACCTGATGACGATTGCTTGTGTTGCGATAGAAACGTGATATTGTTATTCTTCTATTAATTTAATTATTTTAACATCTACGTGGCTTTACTGAAAGACCCAAATACTATGAATTCCTGTAGTCACCAAAGCTTTAAGTAATTTTTTTTAGATTCTTCCAGATTATATTTTACTCTTGTCTGGGCAGACAGGTTTAACAGATTTTTACTTTGGATACATTTTTACCGAGACATACATCTTCGCTAGAGGCACTGTGGCAGATTGCTTAACTCGCAGTCAGAACTTTGCGAGTTCAAATCTTGTCAAAGAGCAGATTAACCCTTCCAATGTTGTATATGGCAATTTACACTCTGGACACCCTTGCCAATGAGATGTTCTATCTCAAGGGATTCTCCAGGTGAAATATTGTAACATAACATAAAAGGAGTAGGACATCATGGAACTCAACAGTGATGGTCCTACGATTAGACTAGGCCCCACAAAAGGAATGTGAAATTTCCACCATTGGATCATGATCACCAGTGGAGATGAGCACCTCACCTGAACGTGCACGGGCATGGCTAGATGTTGACTCTGGTGCCAAAAGAAACGTGTGCTGAGCCGGTGAACTTGGACCGAACACTCCGTGACCTTGCTGCCACTGCCTTCAGGGGAGGAGGAGCTTCTGGCCACAGGGGAGGAGGGAGAAGAGGCTGCTCGTGACGGTGCTCGTGCTCGCCCTCACGCTGCTGTGCTGCGTCGTCACCCTCGTCGTGCAGAACCAGCTGCCAGGTGGGGACACGTGTGATCACCACGGGAGTTGAGTGAGGGCTTCGGCCTGAGCATAGAGCACCTCCATGGGGAGCGAGAGGGCCTTTACACAATGCATGCACAATTCCAGTCTCATGTGAGGCCGGTGCTGCATTCACAAGGTGAGCGGAAATACACAATAAAACTGCTGTGGTACGTTCCTTTTTGGGGGGGCAGCACTTATTCTTTCATATATAAGTGGAAATGGAAAACCACCTGTGGTAGAGTCAAGACAGAGGAGCCGCAGACTGCCACCGCACGCACGCCACAATGAGTGAACGGCTCCGTGTTTTTATCTCCCAGTCCCAGAGCCGCCGGGAAAGCCTAGCGTGTGCACGACGCGGGAGTGCGTGCACATCGCCAGCCGCGTGCTGAGCTCCCTCGACCTCTCTGCGGACCCCTGCAACGACTTCTACTCCTACGCTTGCGGAGGCTGGATCGAGATGAACCCTTTGCCCAACGGTCAAGCCTCCTCGAACCCCATGGATGTCCTGGAGCGCGAGAACCTGCAGCGACTAAAGGGCGTCCTTGGCAAGTGGCGCATCTCGCAGTCGCTCCACTGACACAGATTGCTTTGCAAACCGAAGCCGATTGTTTAGTGCATTTGGATAGGAGGCTGGGAGTGCACGCCTCTGATGTAGCTCTGCGGCATCAGCGACAGTCGGTGGATCACACGCATTCTTGAAACTCCCACGCACTGGGCTGCCAGACTTGCCAGGCATTACACATCCAGGTTAATTTAATCTCTGTTCCGCCTATACAGGGATCGCGTCTTGCCTCCCTTGCACGTGTGAGTTATTTCTGTGTACCCTGGTTTACTCCCACTTTAAAACACTCATTAATGGAGTTGGCCAAACATCCTGATATTGGGCCACAGAGCTTTGGCAAATATTGGCACTGGTTCTGGCCGCCTTCCTACTCGTCTGTGGTTTCCCACACCTCGGAATCATAACAAAAACTGCACATTATGAATTTATGATGCAGACGGGCATTATTTTACGGTTAATAGACCCACAGAATTTGGGTGTGTGGCCATTGAAGTGTGTTTGGCATATGGGTGGAAACCAGGATACCTGGAGAAAGCTTCTACGGTATTCCCTCATTATTCGCGAACTTGCTATCCGCGATTTTGGCTTTTCGCAGATCACATTTGGAACTCTACATGACTGCATCGACAGCGAGAAATAAAGTGATGAGATAAAGTGATGAGAGAGAATATGATGCGGGGAAGTGATGAGAGAAAGTGATGACAAAGAGATGAGAGAGAGATAACTTATCGAAGCTTTAGAAGCATCTGCAGACGTTGCACATATGATATTTGTAGGCCAGTATCGTTATCCGCAAAATGTCCTATGTACAAGGATCTCCAGAACGTATCTCTCACGAATAACTAGGTAATACTGTACTCAAGGGGATCACACACAGATGGGATAACATACAGACAAATTTAATAACCGGTGCTGCACTGCCCTCTGCTGGCCATCTTGTAGCCCAGGCTTTCAACAGCTGGTGTTGGCATGCACTGTCTCATCTGAGCATTCGCCAGGTTCCTCTTCGTTGAGCTTCCTGGATCTGACGAGATGAGAGACATTTATTGTGATTGGGTCATTGAAATGTATCGCAATGAGGAATTTCGGGATTTATTACTACGGATATTCTAAGAATATATGTTTTTAAACATCCATGTTCCTGTAGCTTTTACTAAACTTATGTGGCACTGATGTCAGAGCTCACTGGACTCGCAATGAGAAGATCACAACTGAGTTCAACTGCATGCCAGGTGTCGGCGCGGCACATCATCCCTCCGGGGTGGTTACATTAAATGAGTTAACTTTATCGAAGTCAGGTAGATGCAGGTAAACGTGACGAAAGTGCCGGTGCCGTTTGTGTTGTGATTACAGAGACCAACGGAACGAAAGAGAGCCAGTCGGAGCAGAAATCGCAGTGCTTCTATCAGTCCTGCATGGATATGGACGCGATAGAGAAAGCCGGGGCCCAGCCGCTAGTGGATGTCATTGAGAAGGTCCTCACATGCACATTGAGAAAGTCCTTGTACACATTGAGCAGAAGCGTCAATGTTAATTGATGATGCATTGTCGCACCGTTCATTTCCAGCAGTGGTGATGAGCATGGCTCCACTCTGATCGGATCGTCGTGATGTTTCTCCTTTGACTTTATAATGGAACCTTGAATTTTCTGATCACTGCCACCTACATGGCTTTGCAGCATTTATTCTTTTTTACGCAGTTGTTGAGCACGGGCTGAAAGGCCCAAAATGCAAAGTGTCCAGCAACAAACAGCACTATCAAAGTTGTAATAGTTCAGAGATAAAACATTTCTATTGAGCAAGGTTATAAGAACCTGGGAAACAAAACAATCGGTGGGGGGGGGGGGGAGAGAATTCCAAACTGGAGCAGTGCGAGGGAAGAACTTGGAAGAGAAGTGAGGTGACCTGCAGTGTGGTGAGTGAGTGGGCAAGTAAGTGCTGTTACAATCTGCAGCGTGGTGGTTGAACACAGTCTAGTGGATGAGACGAACCAGTCAGTCTCTTATGAGCCGAGTCCTCAACAGACCATCTGGGTGGGTGTGTGCGCGAGCAGCTTGGTGGCTGGAACATCTCGGGCCGGTGGAACCGCAGCATGAACCTGCAGAACATCTTGCAGGATGTGACGAAGAACTTCACCTTGGGATGTTTGTTCGAGCTGAGTATCGACGACAACCCCGTGGACTCCCAGAGGGTCTCCTTGCAGGTGCTGACGACGCTGTCGGCCTCCTGGCACCAGCTGCCTGATGCAGATTGTGCCTCTTCCTGTGGCCCGGGCACACAGCTCACAAACTATAATTTACCAATCGTGTTTATGTTGTGGTTTAAATGCAACTGCACCTCTAGACCCTGTGCAACAAGCAAGCGGGACATATGCTCACATACATTGAGAAGGTATCAGAAGAGGTGGGCGTACCCACACTTGACCGCATCACACGCAACCCACCGATCGACTGGCTGCGGTGGTACCCATTTACACCGCTGGGTGGAGAGAAGCGGTGGGGGAGATTTAATAACCTTGCCCCATTGTGATGAAATCGAATCGGCGACTGCTGAACTGCGAGTCCATTGCGCTCATGATTACTCCGTGTGCAGGTTCCATAGTCTGTGGTTTCTAATTTGCTGCGTTTGTTCTTTCAGCTGGCTCAGCCCAATCTTGTTTTGCCATCAAGGGATTACTACATCAGCAACACCGAGGAGAACATCAAGGTCTGTTGAGCACCTAGCAGTTGGCCTGTAGCCCTAGAGGGAAGAACGGCATTTGAAAAATGTACAGAGGGAGCACAGTGTTCGGATGCGAGTCATCGCTTGAGATGCTTTGGAGTAGAATGAGGCAAGGAAATATTGTAGAGGAGGTTGTGATGGATGGGACACGTGTGCAGGGTGGAGGAGGGCATGGTACCCAGACGTGCATTACAGTGGCACCCAGAAGTCCGCAACTAAGACGGCAGTGGTGATCTCGACACTAAAGTAGTGCTCCTTTAAGGATGTGTCGACTGTGTAGCAAGGGGAAGACTTAAAGACTGCAGATGGCGGTGGTGATGACGAGACTTTAAGAGCAGAGTCAGACCCTGGGAGGTTAGGTGCAATCGTGGAAGGAAGCGATGGTGAGATGTGGTCGTTATCGGCGGCATTGACCACAATGATGTCTTGACCTTCATCAACAACAGAGAATCTCGCAATCCCTCCCTGTGTGATAGATCCAAGAGGCCTACCTGGAGTACATGCAGGACCTCTCCCTGCTCTTGGGTGGCGAGGAGAACGCCACGCGCCACGCGATGCGGGACGTGCTGGATTTCGAAAGGCAGCTCGCGGTCATCTCCACACCCAACAGCACCATGCGGGTCATGAACGTCAGCGATCTGCAGGTAGCTGCCCTGATCGCGCTGCGATTGGCACGCATGGCCACTCTGCTGCTGCACCTCCGCAGAGGGTCGTGGCCTGAAGGCCTTGCAGCTCTGCAGTGATCATTGGAGAACCCAGTTCTAGGTGGTCTATTGATCACTCGTGATGTTTTTGACTGTCACAGAATCATGGGAAATTTGGCGTCAGGCAGATCCACATTAATAATATATTTTTTATGAATTCGGCCAAGTGGCTCAGCATTGGAGCGAGTAGCTTACAATCGAAAGGTTCCAAGTTCAAATCGTGGTTTGGGGTGGACCTAACCCATCTGTGGGGAAGGCAACCTCCGATTAGGACGTTTGGCTACCTACGGTGCGAGAGAAGTTGAACATACATACAACAGTTGGATGTCTTATGCATAGACTCGCCTCCCCACCATAGGATTATGGAATTTCCACCACTGGCTCAGGGCTGTAAACAGGAGATGAGCATCACCTGAATATTTATTTCAGCAGGAAATGTATTTGACTTCTAAGTAATATTCTCGCGCATGTTACTACCAATAGTGTGATGAATGCCTGGCATGAAGCTGTCAATTACCTATCATTTGATATTTAAATTATTCTTGAATCAAACTATTCCATCTTGTTTGGCACAATTAAAAAAGTGTAATATTACTATTAAATACTTGAAATTACTGTATCGAATTACACAAACACAATTTTGTTCCTGGGTAGTAAGTGTTATTTCGTAATTGCTAATGCCTAAAAAGTATAGAAAATGGCTTTTATTCCCCACAAACTTTGCTTTTGTGACGAGGACAGTGATATTTTGAAATTGACCTATTTTCAATGAGAAAACGGGCGAATGTGTCTTTTCGTTCACATAAAGTCTGCAAAAAAACAACATGAATAAAAATTAACATGTATTTATACTAAAGTAATACACAAATGACTACAAAAGATTTAGAAGTGAGTAGTTTTTCGAGATTTACGATTATATTGTTAATCGCTTTCACGAATCAGCCCCCAAATGTAAGTCTCCCATCATCTTCTCGTTGTACTGTCCTTGGTAGCGGCGTTCAATGTCCAGTATATCCTGGTGGAAGCGCTCGCCTTGCTCCTCCGAGTGCTCCCATGTTCTCCTTGAATTTATGAAGACGAGCATCAAGGACATGGACTTTGAGGGACATCCTGCAGCCCATTGTGCCATAGTTCTTCACCACTCTCAACCAGCTCCACATAGTTTTCGACCTTGTAATTGCCCAGCAAGCCACGAACCACTGCGACAAAGCTGTCCCAAGCCGCTTTTTCCTTACTAGTGAGCTTCTTGGGGAATTCGTTGCACTCCAGGATCTTCTTTATCTGTGGTCCAACAAAGACACCGGCTTTGACCTTTGCCTCACACAGCTTAGGGAAGAAGTCTTGAAGGTACTTGAAGGCTGCCGACTCCTTATCTACAGCGCTGACAAATTGTTTCATAAGGCCCAATTTGATGTGCAGTGGTGGCATCAGCACCTTCCCGGGGTCCACCAGTGGCTCCCACTTGACGTTGTGCCACCCCACAGAGAACTTGGTCCGCTGTGGCCAGTTCCGCCTGTGGTAGTGCGCCTTGATGTCCCTGCTGTCCCAAAGGCAAAGATAGCAGGGAAACTTGGTAAAACTGCCTTGGAGACCCATCAAGAATGCCACCATTTGAGGTACACCGAGTGAGCCAGGGGAAGAGACGGGTATTTGTTACCATTATGGAGCAGAACGGCTTTGAGGCTCCTGGATGAGCTGTCAATGAAGAGGCGCCACTCATTCTGGTTACAGGCGATTCCGATTGCCTCGAACAGACTGGTCACAATGTGGCAGAAGCAGAGCCCATCTTGACGGGTGAAGAACTTGCAAAAAGGTTGGTGACGCTTCCTCCGATCTGCGACTTGCACACTTTCATCCAACAAGTTCCACTGCTTGAGCCTCGATGTCAAAAGCTCGGCATTGGACTTGGTGAGACCAAGATCTCTAATCAAGTCATTGAGGTATTTTTGGTTGGGGGAGTATGGGTTTCTCTCCTCTGCTCCGCCTCTGAAATTGTCATTCTGGATCTACGTCTTCCTCGCTCTCTGACATGCTGCTCTCTTCTATAAACGGCTGCTTTCTCTCCGGAGGAGTGGGTACAGGGAGCTCATGGCAGTGTGGCACCGGGGCGATGGATGAAGGAAGGTCCTGATACGTGATAGCAGGTGCATTCTTGCCAGTCCGACGTTTGGAAGGGTCCACCATGCAGAAGTAGCAGTTGGTTGAGTGGTCAGTGGGTTCCCGCCAATTTATTGGGATAGCGAACTTCATGGCTCTCTTTTCCCCTCTGTACTATCCTTCAAAAATACATTTATTTCACCCATGACTAATGTGTAAGAGATTCCACAGAGTACTTTTTCGCTCTTGTCTTGATAAATTGGCCGCAGACATAGCAAAATGCGTCTGTCGCATGCTTGCAGCCTCTTGATGCCATCTCAGAAAAATGCAGATACGTATCCACTTAGGTGGCTGGAACTAAACTGAACTGCTGGGCTCAAGGCCCCTGTATTTATACGACTATTTATATTACTCGAAAGCTCTAGAATGTTCTAGAAGTTACTCTAAGTTTACTCAGCACTGAATCTATCTGGAATGTTCTGGAAAATAGGTACATTTCCAAATATCACTGTCCTGGTCACAAAAGCAAAGTGTGTGGGGAATAATAGCCATTTTCTGTACTTTTGAGGCATTAGCAATTAGGAAATTACACTTACTATCCATGAACAAAAATTGTGTTAGCGTAATTCGATACAGTAATTGCTACACAGTGTTATTAATAGAAGTTAAGTTTCCAACTGCACCACTATTCGAACTACATTCATTCACTTTAGGCGTAGGCTTTCGCGACCAATATCATCCATAATATCGATTTTTTTGGGTTATATCACGTAAATATAAATGTGTCGTTAAACCCGCCACCACCCGATACAGCCAATTGGTAAGGTTTGTCACGTAAACAGAACATGCCAGTTCGTTACTAGTACAGCACACCGGTGTGCTGGAGAGCAAATCCATAACATTTACAATCTGAGTACACTCATTCATCACTTTCTTGTGTGTCACATTGGGTGTGACTATGTTGTTCAGGGTCCAATGTTTACATTTTCCGCTGCCTGCGTGCGTTTTTTTGGTGCAGATCCTGTCGCCCTTCATCAACTGGTTGGCCTACCTGAAGGTCGTTTTCTTCCCGTTCATAATGGAACCATCGGACACCATTATCGTGTTTTCTGAGAGCTACTTTCGAAATATCACGGCTCTCTGCAAACGCACGCCGCTCGAGTAAGCAGCTACACCCAACACCGCTCATTATTTTCACTTACTGTTAATATTGCAACAAAAGTTTGTGTATTTAGTTGTAAACTCAGTGGTTGAGTACAGGTCTAAAGATCCGAAACCTCAAGTCATAATTGTTCATAGCATGCTGCCGGCCATGTTACATGTTCAGCCTTTGGGCCTAGGCTGAGCAATTGTGTAAAATAAATGTCTAACAACAAACATCATAATGAAATTGTAACAGAAAAGGGTTTTCACTTTTTCAATTGAGCAAGGTTGATGGGGAATAGAGACAATGGGAAGGTGTTTTAAAGTGGAGTAATAAAAGGGAAGAAGCAGAGAGAGAAGCATTGTTACCTGCAGTGTGGTAATTGAGTGAGTGAGTTGTTGTGACCTGCAGTGTGGTAATTGAGTGAGTGAGTGAGTTGTTGTGACTTGCAGTGTGGTAATTGAGTGAGTGAGTTGTTGTGACCTGCAGTGTGGTAATTGAGTGAGTGAGTTGTTGTGACATGCAGTGTGGTAATTGAGTGAGTTGTTGTGACCTGCAGTGTGGTAATTGAGTGAGTTGTTGTGACCTGCAGTGTGGTAATTAAGTGAGTGAGTGAGTTGTTGTGACCTGCAGTGTGGTAATTGAGTGAGTGAGTTGTTGTGACCTGCAGTGTGGTGGATGAAAACAATAGATGACATGAAACAGTCAGTCTGGTAGACCATTGGATCCGACAGGCTGCTCTGGTTATCCAGCGGGTGTTCTACCCATAAAATGCATGCCGTTCGCATCACCGTGAATCTTACAGATCCCATTAGGTCATAAAAAGTTGGTCACTGTGTACTGGTGTCGTGATCCAAATTTCTAAATTACCCACAAATATCTCTGGATTGTGTAGAGAAATCACCACTCCCGACTGGCAAGCTAATGCCCACATGCAGATCAGTGCTGTGTCACCGTGTACCACAGAGGGATAGCTGCCACTGGGGGTGCCCTTCAAATGTTTGAGATGAGATGTGATGTAAGGTGCTGTGAGTTGCTGAGGCATTTAAGCAAAGGTATATAAAGGCAAAGGTATTATAGATGATTATTTCTCAGTCGTTGGGCCAAGGGTATGGAGTGTGGACTCGGCTGACCTCTCTCTGCCTTGACCAGAGTGCTCAACAACTACGTGGTGTGGCGCGTCGCGCAGAAGCTGGTCCCAAGTCTGGGCAGCCAATTCGAGACCGTTAGGAACAAGCTGAAGGATGTCATCTTTGGAACAGAGAAGGTAGGCCGAGTTAAAGAGTCCTGCAAGGTAAAACATCAAAATAAATAAAAAATAAATAAAATAAAACAAAAATCACGACGCTTCGGAAACGTCGTAATTTTTGTTTTATTTTATTTATTTTTTATTAATTTTGATGTTTTACCTACGTGACTTTACCGAAAAAACCTATGAATATGAATCCTTGCAGTCACGAAAGCTTCAAATCTAGAATTAAAGTCCTGCAAGGGTCTTACTTCTTGATGGTGATCATCAATATACTTATCTCCGCCACAAATCGGCTGAAGCACATCGAGCGATCTCACGCGGGTCATGTTGCATGGGGTTGTCTTCCTGGCAGCTGATTGGCTGGTGCAGTGGGATTGATGACGTCATTCCTAGCAATCACTGCCATACCCCAATCATATCACTCGGACACCCATACGACCTTTGAATTTTGATTGGTTTTCCATTACAACATTTCAGATATTTCTACACTTGCAGCATTCATGACTTAAGACAAATATTGCAATCGGTTTCTGTGCTCTCGACCCCTGGGCCTTGTGTCCAGGGCTGTCTCACAAGTATAAGGTGTGTATTTACACATTGAAAGCTCTTTCATCCTGTGTTGCAACTTTGACTTGCTTCGTTTGCTTTTCTAGGGCGGATTTGTCCCTCGGTGGCAGAAGTGCGTTTTAGAGACGGACAGAATCATCGGCATGGGCCTTGGAGCCCTGTATGTGAAGCGCTACTTCGACGTGGATCAAACGATACAGGTGAGAGCGTGGTGTGTGTCTGGTAGGACCAATCACTAAGAGATGCATTTTTTTTTCGATGAATAGAGAAATATCTGTACACGGTAGTGAAATAACAGTGATCAGGAGGTGACAGACTACTCGTGACAGAGTAACTGGAGTGAATCGGTGATTGTTGAAGCAACCCGACTGCTTTGCGTTGAGGTTTATCGAACCGCATGGCGTCTGCGTGAGAACAGGTGGAAAAAATGATTGAATCCACACGATCGGCGTTCAACAAGAACCTGGATACCCTCAGCTGGATGGACAATGTCACCAGGAGTGCGGCTTTGGAGAAGGTGAGGCGATGCGATTCATGAACGACTTGTACACGACATTTGTTTCGCTCATCGTTATCTTGATCCCGACTGTAGGGCCACAGAACTGTTTGTGTTGTGACAAACGCACCGAGTCCACTACTCTTGCAGCCAGGAGAAGTGGGTGGCAGCGGCACAGTGAAAGCACTTGTCCCTCACAGCAAGGCATCCCTGGGTTCGATTCTCAACTTGGGCGCCTTGCTGGGTAGTTACTGCTGAAGAGAAATTGCATGATACTGCCGTATATGGCCCCACATGCGTCCCTTGTGGATGATGATGGGAGGCTAGGGGGTGTGCCTCATGCCAGGCTGTCTCCAAGCGACTGGATCGGGATACACACGGCAATCACCAGCCCCTGCTGACGAGTGGGCACTCGCAGCCCGGTGCTGGGCCACCTTGTGCTGCACTGGCACAGCTGTCACTGGGACATTTTGTTTTGCTATGGGCGTGATATAAATGCAAATAATAATTTTGAATATACTATTCCTTGCTTTGTATTGTTTTGTACCTTTATTTTCTCTGCAGTCCAACTCCATGAGAGATAAAGTCGGATATTCACATCTCTTGCTGGACGATGCTGCGAAATTGGACAGCATCTACATCAAGGTGCAGTTGATATGCGCACTGCCGTGGAGGAGATGCCACAATCAGAAATTGATGTACAAGTCGAGTCACAGTGCTTCTTTGCTCCAACCCACATGAGGCAATCCTCATCTTCGTTGTCGGCCCTGAGCCAGCAGTGGAAATGTCACGTTCCTGTCCACGAAGTGGTACCAATTTTACTGTTCCCAGAGGGATGATGGGCCGAGTCAATGACTGATAACGCTGCCAGGAGGCTCAGTGGTGGAGCGCGTTGCTCAGAGTCAGAAGGTTGTGAGTTTAAATCCTGGTGCGGAAGTCAACAGTGGTTGCCCTATGGATAAACTCACCACTGCCATATGAATGTGGAATTTCCACCATTGGCTCAGGGCTGTAAACAGATGAGCACCATTTGAGCAGCACAAAATGAGCTGGCGAAGCCAGCGCACACCACACCAGTTACTCGTTTGAGGCTGAGTCGACCTAGGGGAGGCCCAGGACCGGTTGAAATTATCGTCACCGGTGGTGGCCGTGAGTGGGAATTGAACTCGGGTCGCCGGGTTTGTAGCGCAGCGCGCTAACCACTACGCATGCGCGGGTCACATGACAGATGTGATGTCACAGCTTACTTGTGCCCCCCCCCCCAAAAAAACAATACCAAATGTATTTTTTTAATTTTTGCATGGAGTACAGTCTGGAAAGTACCCACATGGCAGATTTCAAGTTTATTGCATGTCGGGAAGTACGCTAAACATTTTGAACAGACACACATATTTACAAATGTCCGTTTTATATATATATCCAACTGGCTTTGATCCTTAATCTAACTTTTATCCCATCGCTGGTTCATAGAATAAGAATCGTTATTTATTCTGGAGGAATACATGCATCTAAAGGGTCTTGATGCATCAAAATTGTTTTTGCTATTGTTGCAATTGTTGTTGCTACTGTTGCTATTGTTGGAGGTTCCACATTGGGAACTGTGTTTTGAGTTGTAGGTGCAAGGGTGACATTCATGATTACCCCTCCCTACCCGTAATCATCCTGGGTCGCCATCTCCTGATGGCAGTGCAACAAGTGGGTTAATTCCCATCTGTACGGGGATTGAGATGTTATTATCCCCCTCATACGCGTGGGGTTTCTTCCCACAAGTATAAACACTTCTTCATGGAGTTGACCAACCATCCCAATATAGAACTACAAACATTGGGAAATTGTTGGCACCAGTTCGAGCTGCCTTCCCACTGCTGTATGCAGTTTTCCGCACCTCCGTGCAAAAACTGCATGCGTAACAAATTCACCGGCACTTTGAAACGCATCTTGCATGAATGACGCTGCACACGAATCAACCATGAATATTTAACCCAGGGCCTCCGAATTGATACGCCCACCACAACGTTTTTCAGAGTAAATTCTTTCTGTTTTGCAGCTGAACCTTGTGAACGGCAGCTATTTCCAGAACGTGCTGAGCAGCTACCTGTTCGATGTGGAGGGATGGAGGCACTTGCTTATCTTTGGCCGCAACACCGACACGTGCGTCTGTCTTTCCGCACGGCACCCTTTGCCAGGCTGTGATCGGCACACGCCCCCGTTAGACGGCATTGCATGGTCCCCAACTGTCTTACAATTGAAAACATACACCTGTAGTGGTGGCGCGCTCGCCGCTTACAGAAAAGGTTCGCGGTTTGAATCCGGCAGGCTGCCCTGGCTAACACTGCGGGTGTATCAACCACAAATACTGCGCAGCGTCTGCTACACGGTGGGTGTTAAGTCCCTGTGAGGTTGTTCCAAAAGAGAAAGCCATTTCTGCCGGGACCGTGCTTCAAATTTGGAAATTTACGCTGCAAATTACTCATTTGGGATAAACATAGCAACATTGCCCTCTTTGTGACAGCCTTGCACTGTAAGACTGGTGCACATACCAAATGTACTACATTATTACTGTATTGTTTATTACAATAGGGTTGTGGTTAATCCATGCTTGTGCCCATTGGTTGTGCACATACTGCACAACATGTGGATAATCTGGATAATTATAAAAGTAAAATCGTCTCTTCAAACATCCATTGGGTGAGAATTTCTGAAGGTGGCCTTGAGACTGTGGTGGAAATTCAACACTCCCCTTGTTGGGGCAAATCTGGGCCAAACTGTCGCATGCCGTAATTGTTTAGCAGCCTTACTGTTACCGGTTGTTCCTGGCCCTATGATACCCGCAATAGAAATGTGGAATTTACACCAATGGATCAGGAATGAGCCCTGTGCCCTGTTGACTTCTGACCCTCCCGTCCATTGCAGCTGGCGCATCACGCCGCCGACCGTCAACGCGTACTACACGCCTACAGAGAACAGCATGGTGTTTCCCGCGGGGATTCTGCAAGAGCCCTTCTACGACAAGGCCGCTCCCATGTGCGTGTGACTATTTATCAGGACACCTCCTGGGCGGGTTTCCCACCTAGGGGGAGTCAAGGTGCCATACTCTGGCTCGCCATGGCAGGCGGGACAGCAAGTACGGACTAATCTCTTTTTGTTCCACCTGAGTGGGAGGGACTGTTGCCCCCTTGCTCGAGTGCCGTTTCCTAGTGTGCCCCAGTTTCCTCCCACATCTATAAATACTCATTATTTGGCTCCAAACATCTTCATATATAGAGGACCACAGAGCTTGGGCAACTGTTGGTGCCGGCTCACTGCGTGGCTGCTGCCTTTCGCTTATCTGTGGTTCCTCCGAGCACCTCTGAGTCATCCTGCCTAGTGGAGAACGACCAATTACTGCATGGCAGTGGCACGCTACAAGTTGACATTATTATTAAAATAAAAAGTCCCCTTTTGACAGCCTCATCACTCTCTACTCCACTCGTGTGCGTACAGGTTCATCAATTACGGAAGCATCGGCACAGTGATTGGACATGAGCTCACACACGCCTTTGATGATAAGGGTATTTTTCACCACCATCACAAGAATAACACCATTAATGTACTGTACATGAGAGTTGAATGTATTGTACGTGACAGTTTTTTCAGCTCCTTTTAATCCGTGTGCGATTTTTCAAGTTGGGCAGCGCATTGGTGTCCTCTCTCGCCACACATTACTTACTTTGGGCACCTTCAGGAGTAAATGATGCCTACGTCTGAAGATGCCTGCAGCAGGAGTGTGCGGTAAAAGCTCGAGAGAAGAAATATCAAACGGGTAGCCTAACTCGGGACACTGCACGTGAATGCAATTAAAAATATATATTCATCGTTCTGCAAATGCAAACTATGTGAGCACCAAATAGAAACACCAATGATTGCGAAGAGGAAAAAGTATGGCTTCGTGCCTGTGTCCAGTTGAAAAAATACACGAGCAAGGGGAGAGGGTTGTGGGGTTAGAGGTTGTGGCTTTTAATTTATTTTGCAGCCATTGCCGGCAGGAGTGCCACAACGCGTCGACTCGGCCATAAGTATCGCATCTAGACAATCACGTTTGTATACGTTGTGCGTAATGAGTTTCTCCCCTCCAGCCACTGGAGGCTGCTAGGCTGAATCATTACTCCCCTACACATCCCTTATTACCAGCCCAACAAACGATTTCGTTGTTGCGCACGGCAGGCAGCCGCTACAACTACAATGGCAACCTGAAAGAGTGGTGGGAGGCCGGCACGCGGAAGCAGTTTGAGGAGAAGGCCGGCTGCATGGAGCGGCAGTACGGGGCCTACGAGGAGCAGGGGCAGCACGTGGACGGGCACCGCACCCTCGGGGAGAACATCGCCGACAATGGAGGCCTGCACGTCGCCTTCCAGGTGCGTCCCGTCCTCGTCTGCCCGTGCGGAGCCCGCTCTCTCTCACGGCATAGCACCTTTCGTGGCCCCCTATCAGGAATTCGCTGGGGCAGAGCACTACCCATGATCGTAACATTCCGAATTCCCAACCCGAGGCCTACTCGTCACGCCATCTTTCCTTGGTCTTAAAAGTAAACACCACTTTGTGGGAAGAGTACAGAGGAGAGAATCAGAATAAGAGTCAGTGATTTCCTGCTAATGTAAGCATTGAGGCAGTGCTTATTTCCTGTTTATAGACCTGAGCCAGTTGTGGAAATTCCACATACCTATGGCAGGGGCTAGTCTTTAATTAAGACAACCATTAACTTGACCCACAAAGTGGAACTCGTATTAAAGACCCTAGCGGGAGGGATGATAGGCTGAGTCAACCCCAACAAAGAATTGAACTCACGACCTTCCGTTTGCAAGCCGCTTGCTGTGCCGCTGAGCCACTTGGCTGACTGACCTGCAACATAGGAATGTGGAAATTCCACCACTGCTCAGGGCCACCTATGGAGAATAACACTGCCCCACATATCCTGATTGTGGAGAATTTGAATGTTATGTAATATATTTTTGCATATCTATATATTTGTTTGTGTTATGTTCTTGGCCTCCTGAGGTTTAGGCAGTAAGTATGTATCTTGATTTGAAGCTTTCGTGACTGCAGGAATCCATACTCTTTGGTTCTTTCGGTAAAGTCACGTAGATAGAAAATTAATAGGTCACGACGTACATATTCCTTCTCTAGCTCCGCCCACTTACCCTTGGGTTGGGCCCACCAAAATCCTGTAGAAACTCTTGTTGCAGCAGCTCTTTCTCCTACGTCAGCAGTTCGCCTGCTGTGTTTGTTTCACCTGATGACGGTTGCTTGTGTTGCGATCGAAACGTCGTGATCTATTAATTTTCTATCTACGTGACTTTACCGAAAGAACCAAAGAGTAAGTATGAACATTTGTTTTTGCGTAGTCCAGTCCAAGAATGCCCCTCACTGATTACACAGTGTGATCTCTTTGGAACAATACTGCTTTAAGTCTGTTGCAAAACTAACTTAGACTCAAGGAAGGATCCTGAACATCTGCGGCCGGTAACTGGGTCGAGGCCTCCATGCTGGAGACTCCGGTGAAACTTTTCTGGTCGTCTTGCTGCACAAGGTTTGCGTATGGATCCAGCAGCAGCAGCAGGATCACCATGGGCTGTGGATCGTAGATGGCATCGATTGGAGTTCATTGAGGCTGGGACATACTGCTCATAAAGAGAGGATGGAGCGGATTGATGCAGACTTTTGTGTGATAGGCAGCCAGTGGAGCTCGAGGTTTAGATCAGATCAAATTTCCACTTCCGAACGATCAGGCGAGCCGCAGCATTCGATGAGCACCTGGTGTTGCGTATCTATCGGATCGCACACAAAGGTGGCCAGACGTGTTGTTGGCCACTCCAGGCCCTCGTGTGCCAAGTCGGCCTCAATAGATGCTCTCTAACAGCACTTGCCCCAGCAGTCTGTTTAGGCTACAGTGGTGGGGATCTTTGTCTCTGTATCGCTGCAGGCCTACGAGCAGTGGGTCCAGACCAATGGGAAGGAACAGTCGCTGCCGGCCATGAACCTGACCAACCAGCAGCTGTTCTTCATTGCCTTCGCCCAGGTACCCCTTGGGAGCCAGCGAGCCCAGACCGCACACTCCACTCGTCGGTACCGCCTGAGATGGCGTCACTCTAGTGGTTCGAACTTCGTTGTGATTTTGTTTGTGGCGGCCACTCACACAGGATGTGTGTGCTGCTTCCTGGTGGGAGGAACCCAAAAGTATTCAGGTAAAAACCCAGCGTACGATGGGTTAATACTCGCACAGATCGATTCGATAATACCCACTGTACTGCCATCTCCTAGCTACCCAATAGGCCAGGCCTGCGACACCTGATAATCCCAGTCTCACATGCAAGTGCCAAGCAAGCAAGAAAGCTCAACCCTGCTTAACCCCTGAGTGATTTTTCTTACACAAAACGTCAAGCGGCCAGCAACAAACAGCACTATGAAATCTGTCATAGATAAGTCATAAGGTTTCGTGAATAGAGCAAAGTTCGATAAGAGCTTGGGAAAAGAGATGGTGGGAGGGAGATGTGATGAGATTGGGCGCGAGATTGGGCGCATCTCGGTCGTTCTGCTTTGTCGTGCCGCCATTCGCAGACGTGGTGCTCGGTGCAGACCCCCCAGGCGCTGCAGGAGAGCTTCGTGACGGACAACCACAGCCCCCCGCGACTGCGCATCAAGGGGGCGCTCTCCAACTCCGCCGAGTTCGCCCGGCACTTCGGCTGCAAATTGGGCTCGGCCATGAACCCCGAGAAAAAGTGCCAGATCTGGTGACGCGGCCCGGCCACCCGGCGCTCTCGGACGCGACAATCGCACTGATCGTAGAGCCGGGTTTTTGAAACAACCAAACGAAATCAGCAACGCGATTGGTTGAAGCGCCCCTCCCCCACAATCTCCCAGCTTTACACAATCACATGGGTTTTCTGTAATTTGCATCGTTGCTTTGAGAGTTGCAACATAATGTATACAGCTTTGTTATTTTGGTCCCCAGGTCTTGTGCACACACACACATTTTAAAATATCTGACAATTTAACACTCTCTAAGGGATGCATTATTGCTATGGCTGCTTCTAAATGCAATTCCACATTTAGGTTGGGTTACTTTTTAAAAGTAAGATTTCGCTTTGTGCAAATGTTTTGTTCGTTTTTACTGTCACCATTGAAAGTGAACGTTTGATGACGGGAAGTTGGCCCAGCACCAGATTAGATAGCATAGTGGCTTGGCCAGGGTCCAAATCAAATCAGCTGTTCTCAACCGGTGGGGCACTCCCTAGCCTTTTGGGAGGGCGGGGGGGGGGGGGAGAGTGGCGCTCGGCTGTGGCCTGGTTAACGTCCAGGAAAAATTTGAAATTCGAATGGAGAACGGCACCACAGAACGAGCGCGCGCGTTGCTTCTTCCACAAACCTGGGAGGCCCCGAGATGTTCTGCTGAAGCCAAGCCACATATGTCACACGTGTACAGATCACACAGTGATGTGCACACTGGCATGCGAGTGGAGGGCGGGGGACAAGTCGTCTTGATAGGGGGACGCCATTCAATAACCTCTGAGAACCACTGCTGTCAATAGAGATGGCGTGTCTAAACTGCGAGTTGTGGAATACGGTCATCAGTAGGTGGCAATCAACCACCAGTACGCGCAGCTTTACGACATTACGTAATACACCATCAACTCACAGCCTCTTTGCTGAGCCGGCTCCTGTACAAGGCCTTCGCTTATCTGTTGCAGGTTCATATCTTTTGCAAAGAAAGAATAATAGATCACGACGTTTCGATCGCCACACAAGCAATCGTCCTCAGGTGCGAGTCGCTCACTCGACCGCCGAGCTTCCTGCCCAGTGTTAGTTCCACGTCGAGATATGAAATGTATTTACGTGGCCGCTGCACACTTTTGAAAAACGTTGCGATTCAAAGTGCCCTCCGGGGTTACCTGTGTTTAATTCTGGTTAAGAAACCTCACTCTGTGAGATGAAACGATTATCAGAATGTGAGTTGATGATGCACTAATGCTGCTGCAATGTTACGATAAGGGGACAGGTAAAAATGTTGAGTAATTAATACAAAATATATTTATCATTTTTTACGTGTGGTGCATGACGTAAAATATTTTGCGTGTGCAGAACTGATTTGGGCCGGTTATTGTTAATTCCTGTACATTACAATGCACTGTATAATCCCATTACATTGAACAATACACGTGTAAGATAGAGGTACAGTAGTCGCATTGCCAACCACTTCTCTGAGTCATGTGATCTCACTGAATTTAGTCGTGATCTCGGGGAAGATCACCTTGATTCTACGTTTTAAACATTTTATTTCCAACGGCGTGCTAGGAGAATGGATCTCTGGGGCTTCATCTTCTTGAGGGGTTGCAAGATAATAAAAATGCCTTTGCGTGGCTTCTGTAGCGCTCTGCGACTTGTGTCCGTCCTCGGGATTGTTTTGATGATTGCTACTGCTACTACTCCTGTACAGAAATAAACTTTGCAATCCACCCCGACTACGATTGGACTATTGTGATGCTATTTACAGACTTGGTGTCGGCTCAGGGCTCAACAAGCACTGCTACCATTGTCCAACACCCCCACTCCACTTGGCCCCCTGCAGAACCCATCAATGTAAACTTTATTTGAACTCTCATCAGCTCCCCGTGGTCTACGCAGGGAACGACATTGAGCCATCTTCATCAAGTGTTCCAAAAAAGTCAGCGACATATCTTCTTTCTAGATAATTTAACCTCCCACACAAATTCCCGTATCCTTAGAAGCTCTTCCCTTTCGTGTGGCGGCTATCTCTGGTTCTCTGGAAATACCGAGCGAAAACGTTTGGGATCAAAAGCTCACCACCATCGTTCTATTTAGATCACTTTTGAGGCTCTCAAGTATATGTGCAATTGATTGCTATGCTTTGCAAGGATTTAAGTTATGGTTGTTTTTTGTATGTGATGTGTTATATTAGCTTTGTGTTTATGGGCCGTCCATAAATGACGTCACGCGATTTTGGCCGGTTTTGACCCCCCCCCTCGTCACACGGCGTCACAAAAAGTCAGACCCCCTCAAATATGACGTCACAAATCACTGCCCCCCCCCCAATCATATTTCCATTTTTAAAATAAAACATGCTTCAAATCGCTTTAAACGATTGTCATTGTAGTGCGTATTTAATGTGGCGCTGCACTCTGATGTAGGAGAAAACATTTATTGAAAAGGAGGCGTTGGAAAGCTGAAATTTAGCATAAAATTCACCTGAAAATATTCAACGTCTAACTAAAACTGCAGATGTTCAGAATATTATATTAAAATTCTCTTATAATTGTAACATTAAAAGTAATTATAACTATAAAAAATACTTGAAACTTTGTAGTAGAACGAAGCAAAATGGAGAGTACTATTATAACAATCACATTCATTCCACAGAATGAAAAGCCCTGGTAGAATCATTAAAATCAAAATGTTTAATAATAATTCAAAAAAATTTACAAAATGTAAGCTTCTCCATTCTCCCATGGAGAAGCAAAATGCTCCTTCATGGAATAAATAAAAGGTGACCTTAGTAAATTTAAATAATCACATAGTTAATTAAAATTGATCAAAATTAGTGATAACAATTCTATTGTTTATATTTATTTCTCAAACCCCCCTCCCCCCCTCATCACACATTGTCACAAAAGTCTGACCCCCCCTCCCCACCCCTAGGTGTGTGACGTCATTTATGGACGGCCCCTTATTGTGTACCATGTTGATGGGTGACCTATTGGAACTTGGCTACGTTTTGTTTCAATGTTTTTTTCTGTAATCACCTTTCTGTATTCAGGTTCCCATCGAAAATGAGCTTTCATTGCCCAATGGGGGTTGCCTGTGCCTAAATGAAACAACCGAAACTCCCTATGACATCAGAAACACAGACAAATGGAAAACTGAAAATGTCGTTGGTGCAACGGCAACTTTATGGGTTGGCGTTGCACTGAGACAGAAAGAGGAACACGTGGATTAGAAAGCACAGGCAAGTTAACGACATCGTCCATCCTGCTGGGAGGACGAACAACGTGAACGCACTCCCACAGCTCTCGCACTGCTGTTGCAGTTGGCACGACGTCACCGCCGCATTCGTGATCACGTGACGCCTCCACCTGCGCTTCGCGGTGACGCGTCGCATGCCGTCATCGCTCGCGGCACCCGCGCGATGACGCCTCAACTCCCGCATGATGACGTCATTGTCGTGCAACCAACACGATGCCGTCATCGCTGGCGGCACCCGCGCGATGACGCCACAACTCCCGCATGATGACGTCATTGTCCTGCAACCAACACGATGCCGTCATCGCTCCCTGACCTCACCGCCCGCCATGGCCGCCCGTGCGCAGTGACGATGACGATGCTGCTGCTGCTGATGAATCTGCCTCAGCTTGCGGAACAATTCGCCCGGCTCGGTTGTCAACGCTGTGGCCCTCGAAGATAAAAACAACACAAATGGACGTTTCGGGAAATGGCATTTGGGGCCGTCCATAAATGACGTCACGTGATTTTGGACGATTTTTGACCCCCCCCTCGTCACAGGGCGTCACAAAAGGTCAGACCCCCCCCCCTCAAATATGACGTCACAAAGCTCTGCCCCCCCCCCCCAAAACCATATTTCCATTTTGAAAATAAAACAAGCTTCAAATCGCTTTAAACTATTATTTAAAATTGCGCATTTTGATGTGACGTCACATTCCTCACCCCCCCCCCCTCGTACTCCCCCCCCCCCCTCGTCACACATCGTCACAAATGTCTGACCCCCCCCCCAGGTGCGTGACGTCATTTATGGACGGCCCCTTTCGCACAGTAACCACAGCGGACACTGACGTCACCCCCCCCCAGCGCCCCCTCCCCACTCAGAGCGGGCGAGGCGCTCCCCAGAGGGGACGGGGTGGGGGTCGTCGTGGTGGTCGCAAAATGTCACGGGTCTTTGGCATAGGGCCCCGACAACATTAACGATAAAACACAAAGTCACTGCACTTCCTCTCGTCAATAGCAAACATCGTTCGTTGTCGGGGTTGGAGGAAGCGATTGCCCCCCCCGCCTCGGAGCTGAAATCATCAGCAACACAGCGCCTCTGCTGGCGCTTGCAGAGAGTGGGGGGGGCGACTGGGGGGGGGGCGAGTGGGGGGGGGCGACTGGGGGGGGCGAGTGGGGAGGGGGCGAGTGGGGGGGGGGCGATTGGGGGGGGCGAGTGGGGGGGGGCGACTGGGGGGGGGCGAGTGGGGGGGGCGAGTGGGGGGGGGCGAGTGGGGGGGGCGAGTGGGGGGGGGCGAGTGGGGGGGGCGAGTGGGGAGGGGGCGAGTGGGGAGGGGGCGAGTGGGGGGGGCGAGTGGGGGGGGCGAGTGGGGGGGGCGAGTGGGGAGGGGGCGAGTGGGGAGGGGGCGAGTGGGGGGGGGCGAGTGGGGGGGGCGAGTGGGGAGGGGGCGAGTGGGGAGGGGGCGAGTGGGGGGTGGCGAGTGGGAGGGGGGCGAGTGGGGGGGGGCGAGTGGGGAGGGGGCGAGTGGGAGGGGGCGAGTGGGGAGGGGGCGAGTGGGGGGGGGGCGAGTGGGGGGGGGCGAGTGGGGGGGGGCGAGTGGGGAGGGGGCGAGTGGGGAGGGGGCGAGTGGGGGGTGGCGAGTGGGAGGGGGGCGAGTGGGGAGGGGGCGAGTGGGGGGGGCGAGTGGGGGGGGCGAGTGGGGGGGGCGAGTGGGGGGTGGCGAGTGGGAGGGGGGCGAGTGGGGGGGGGCGAGTGGGGAGGGGGCGAGTGGGGGGTGGCGAGTGGGAGGGGGGCGAGTGGGGGGGGGCGAGTGGGGGGGGGCGAGTGGGGGGGGGCGAGTGGGGGAGTTTAATCAGCTGATCTGCTGTCTGTGCTGTGCACTGCCCGGCCACAGCGCTGCTGCTCGAGCGGTCCTCGTCGCCTCCAGCAGGTCTCCACCCACTCCCACAGCCACCACCCACCACCACCGTCACCACCACCACCACTGCCGCCCATCTCCCCCACCCTCCACCACCGTCCACCACCGTCACCACCCACTACCGTCACCATCACCACGATCACCCGCGAAGCTCCTCCCCCCTCCCTCCCTCTGCTCCGCCCCCATCCCCTTCGCTGCCGTCTCCCAGCTCCCTGCCGCTTCTTCTTTGCAACAGCGCCGCCTCCTCCTCCTCCTCCCGGCACCACCGAACCCACCACCCCGCCCAGAAGCCCCGGGCCGGGTCCGCGGGCTCGCAGAGACCCCGCGGCGAGCGACGCGCGGACACGCAGGGCGGGTGGGGACCGGCCTCTGGAAGGTGAGTCTCTCCTCTCTCCCTGCAGCAGCAGCAGCATCAGCATCATCCCTGTCTCTCTCTCTCTCCTGCCTCTGTCTCTCGCTGGGGGCTATGCAGCGCCCATGCCTGCCGGCCGGCCTCCATCTCATCCCGTGGCCGTGTTCCTAACGCGCCCCTTGTCCTCAGCTCGTCTCGACGCCGCGTCTCGCCCCTGCCGCTGTCACCTCCCGCCTCCTCTGGTGGTGGCCCCGTCAGGCGGGAGGCGACAGCGGCTTGAGGGGTGCCGCGGGTCGTGGTGCCGCTCTGGGAGAGAATTGGCTCCCCACCCACCGTTACCTCTCGCGGATAGCGGCTCCACGCCCATTGAGTGCGGCATGAAAAGACCATACTTCACCTTACCACGCCGTCACACCGCAATAGACCACGTCATCATACCACCCCTCACCACGTTGAACCGCACCCCACCATACCAACCACACCACATCATCACACACCACATCATCACACACCACATCATCACACCAAAGTACACCGCGACTAACCTCCCCGTCATCCCCTAACCGCACCGCATCGTGCGGTGCGGTGGTAAACAACATTCCGCTGTGGGGGTGACAATCGTTGCGCTGTTTGTTGTTTTAACCATGGAAGGAAAAATCCGCCACACCGCCCTTCCTTTTCCTATCCTGAACGCGAATCCAGATTTATTTTCCAATTTTCGTTTCACATTTTTCCACGTAAAATTCCATCTCCGGCATCGGTAAATTCTGGGCGTAGCCTCATTGTTGTGGGTTCCCCACCTCCAGCAGCCAGCCCCATCCGTGCCCGGCCCATCACGCAGATGGAGATTGATGTTCATCAACAAGATGAATCCACCATCTCCCTGGCAGAGGGAGAGAGACAAGGACCTGGGCTGGTTCTGGAAGCCACCGGCCTCTGTCGCGAGTCAGTCATTCCCCGAGAACGCGCACAGAGCGGGCAGCGAATGTGGAGCCATGTGCGTCAACGAACGTGGCTGCAGGCATTAGATAACGCACCGCTGAATATGTACTCGATGCAGTCTGTCTACAGTCTGTGATCTATACAGATCGACGGTGGACATCGTTTATATTGCTCTGGCGACTCGCCGGTAGAGCGAGAAGCTCGCAGTCGGAAGATTGCTAATTGAAATCCTGGGTGTGGGTTAAATCGGCACATCATCCTTCCGGGGTTGATAAATTCAGTACCACGTTGTGAGGAAGTCAAACAGTCAACGGATAAACTCGCCCCCGGCCATATGAATGTGGAATTTCAATGACTGGTTTTGGGCTGTAAACAGGAGATAATCACCAACGCCTCAATGCTCATTTGATATCACGTTGACTTGTTTATTTTTCGCCACTATATGTGCTTTGTAGTGCATTTCGTCTGCATGATGGTTGATCATCAGCATCATCTTAATAAAGCGATGCGTTTTTTTCTGTATGACATCATCGTATTCAGTGTCTGGGATGTCTCGAGGTTGCGTGCTTTATGTTGATGTATGTGGATGTAACGTGTGCCCGTGCGGTTACGCATGTAAACTAAATGTTTTATTTTACCAGGTAAGGCCTACTGAGCTATATAACTCTTCTTCAGAGGCGATCTGGCCACAAATGATAGCTTATCATGTGCGAATTTATAGCAGCCATATACTCTAAATGCATGTTTCTAAACGTGGAAGGAAAAACCAGAGGACCCGGAAAAAAATCCACACGACCACGAGGAGAACATACAAACTCAAAATATACAGCAGCAGGCGGTCAGGGTCGGGATCGAACCCACGGCCTCCTGTATGCCAGGCGAGGTAGTTAACATCTCCTAGCCACCGTGGGGCATGTGTCAGTGTGGTTAACGCGTCTGCAGTTGATCAGTCTGCGTGGTTGATGTGTGCCTGTGTAATTCACCTGTCTACATTGCTAATTTGTGTGCTTTGCTTGATAGATGTGTGTGCTTGATGGCGCATCGGTCAGCGAACTGCATGCACCATTATTCTCGCTGTACAGGTTCGGTTCCTGGCTACGCACAGAACGATCGGAAATTGGTAATTATTTATGGACTGCCACTATGTTGACTCAAACTAAAATGGGGAGTTCCTGATGCAGTGGTAAATCCAAGGTGGGAGTGATGGAGGTGATTGCCCCCCCCCCCTCCTTGAGACCCTGCCAATTGGTATTTTGTTGATATTTCTTGAAAGAAAATATATTTAATGTGTTGTCCATTAATGATTGATATTCCGTGGCCACCCCCACCTCATGAGGAGTTTCTCGATCCATCTCTGACCTGGGGAGTTGGTCGTTTGAGCACCGATTAGCAGTGGGGAGATGGAGGGAGCCGGACTTGCCGAATGCCAGTCCCTCATCGATATTTCACGATAGTGCCGTGGCAGCCGACAGCATTTGTGCCAGCGGTGGCCGTGTGCACGCTGTGGCCGTGCCGCACACGCGCCCTGTAATTACAACGCTGCTGCTGCTGCTGCACGCGTGGACTGCATTCCACTCCCGCTGCTCTGGGAATCCGTTCCGCACACACGCATGGACACCCACTGTATCTACAGTGCAGCAGCAGCCTGTATGCTCCACCTGGATCGCTTGGTGTTGGAGAACTGTTGGGTATGCCAGTGAGTCAGTTCTAATGCATAATTTAACCAGGAGATGAATGGAACCCATCGAGACACATGAAACAACGTTGGCTTTTTTGCGAGGGTGGGTCAGGTGTCTCCCTGACAGCCACATCTGGGTGCTCGATTACTATAGTTGCATACTCGGTGTCTGTAGGTGAGATGGATGTTTGCTGGCAGGGTGTATGCTCACGTATGTGATTATTATTATTTTGACTAATAGTTTAGCCAGTCTCGAAACTCTTTAGGAGGGTCCTGCTAGGTTTTCACAAGAGGGGGACAACTATTGCTATGTGATTCCCAAATAAGTAATTTTGTGATTCCTTTTTCAAACGTGGCCTATATTTCTTCTATTGATGTCATGGGAGTGTTAACGTCCAATGTGAAGCATACGGTGCATTCTATGTGATTAAGTAGCAGTGTGAACCAGGGTAGCCTGGTAATTTTCGAACTGTGAACCTTTTGCAGCAAGCTACATACGTGACCACTGGGCCCTGGAATCTCCCAAATGTCGTAGTATGTCATCTGGTTGTGGGTGAGGCACGCTATGTTTGGGTCCTTGGCCACGTATCTATCAATCTGATGTCTTACCTTGGCTCGGGTATTTAGATGTTGCTGAGTTGTCAGCTGGCTCACTGTCTGGGTGTCGATTTTCTGGCCACAAAACCTGCATAAAAAAATGAATAATAACCAAAAATCTCAAAATTAGACAAACAGAATTGTGGAGCATGCTTGTTGGCCATTCAGTTTTCTGTATGTATGTTGAACTTCTTTCACACCATACGTAGCCAACCGTGCTAATCGGAGGTGCGAATATTTTCTTGTTGAAAATAGTTGCACCAAAGTGTTTTAAATGCACAGTACTTTCTTGTCATTTTAATTCCACTAGAATGTTTGCAAGTTTGTTAAGGATGGGTACACTACAGAGCAATTTAAAAGTGTGATTTTTAGGTTATTTGCACCAAATCACATACTTTTGTGGTTTGATTTTGTATCGTAAAACTTGCAGAATGTTGCAGATGAAGCTCATCGAGTAAAATTTCTCATCCCCCGTTCCCGCCGCAGGATTGAAAGGCTTCTCCTCAAGCCTCCCGCCAACGCCACTGCCACCGCGGCCGACTACGAGTGCGACCGCGCCTGGCTACGTGGCCCAAGATGGCGGGGGCATCGGTTAAAGTGGCCGTGCGGGTGCGGCCGTTTAACAACCGGGAGACGAGCCGCGACTCCAAGTGCATCATCCAGATGATTGGAAAAACCACGAGTGAGTCGGTGTGATCGTGCACGCGGGGATCTGCTCCGCCACAGCTCGGGCTCGCGTTTACAAATCCACACGCGTGGCACGATGCAACTGGCGTCTGGAAGGCCCTGGTAGAATGAGCTCGTGGTGTTAGCTTTCCCCGGCTCGGAGCCTCATTGATGCCCATCGGAGCTTTTGGGAATTTTAAGAATGAATGATAGATTCAGCTCCTAGGGTTTTGATTCATAATTGAGTTTTGGACTAAGGTCAGGTAAATGACCTGTCCAAATTTGTGCTAAATAAAAGCCTCTACCACCTGACATAGCCAAGCAAATTTTATATTCTAATTGCTGAATTTGCTTGTGAGAATTCAATCAATCAAGACTTGCTCTTAAAATTACCAATGAGCTTAAAGAATAATTATTGACACATTAATTGCTTGTGCTCGTGACTATTGAAATGTGTTTTGCTGTGTTGGGTGGTGGAAGGACTTGACAACACGCATTTGGCCAGCTCATTACACGGCTTAACCCAAAAATTTACTTTTATCAAATGAGATGTTTGATTTTAACTTTCTGCAGTTATTTTACTCTAGCACTTACCGCCTTGTGGTGTATTCTATACACATATGTAACTTGCAAGGCGCGAAAATACTCAACGCAGCAAAACAGTAGTTGGCATCGTTTTCAACATTTTCTGGAGTCGTGGATGTTTTTTTTCAGATGGGGAATTGGGTTTTGAGCGTGCAACAGGACGTTGCTGTGTCGAATGTGTGACTTGTATAGCTTGGTGCTAAGCGGCTTGCTTGTTCACTTGCAGCAAGCCAGGGTTGGTATTTCCGGTAAGTGAGAGATATTTACGGTGTATGAAAAATCCCATTTCAAAAAGTGCTATTCATCTCCTCTGTGTTCCGCTCGCTGTGCAGAAATACTGACACAATAACTGGAAACCATATTCGGGGCTGCTTTTTTCCTTGTGAAACTTTTCACCATCTCCTGTGTCTTCCTAAATTTTAAATTAAATGTGGTGCTAGCGTACAGTATCTGCCGTAGCAAGCTGTGCCAGCGAATGCGACATTGCCATTGTCGGGATGGCCAAAGGAACGCTGGCACGGGCGTCCATTTTGTGCAATCTTGTAGAGTGCTGGGCCGGCAGTCTCGCGGCAGCTGATTGATCAGTGGGGCTTGGCAGCACTGACTTGCACGGCCTCTGCTAATTTAATTTGGCGTGGCTGTTTTTGGTGGGGTGGGCTTGGCTAGGGTGGGGGGAGACTGCTAGGGAGTGGGGAAATGGAAGGATGGTGGTTGGGATGTGGTTGGGATGATGCAGCACGAGTCTTTGTGGCGTTTCCCTCCGCGTCACTGCAGTGTTTTAGAACACGTTTGTGGCAGCATGCTAATGGAGCAGCCGTTAGATTCCAGACTCTCCGCAACTGTGAACCTGAAACCTCTTCGCGCTGCCTCTCGCTTATCTGTAGCATGTAATCAGCGTCTGGGCCAGAGGTGCTGTGCCACAGGAAGGGTACAAGTTCAAATCCAAGTCAAGGAATGTGAATATATTGGTCCCTTTCATAGGAACATGGAATTTTTATGCAGCTAACCTAGGAATGGCAAAGAAGGAGAGGACTGGCCTATGCTCTTTTGTGCATGGGGATGCTTTCACATATGATATTCAGTTTTTGCATCTGATTGTGTTGGTGGCTAAATCTAATGTAGCAGCCTTTTGCCGTTTTGCCTCTCTTCAGTCTCATCAGCAGAGTGTGGCTTGTTTATCAAATTTTGCTGGCTTTTCTGGTGTATATACAAGAGTATGCCTGTATCATGTCAAGTGCTCTGCATTTTGCGATCATTCCATTGCAGCATAAGCTTCGTTGCCTTTCATGGCCGCGTCCTGCTGCCCCGTTCTCAGCTTCGATCCCATTATAAACACCGTTGACACGGCCTCTTTAACGCAGCAATACGCGCTCTGGTAACGATACCGGTGTCGGCCGCCCTACCGGGCGCCACACGAAGGGGTTAAAGATACCTTGTGTGCAAGGCAAGCCTGCAAGTAGCCCTCCGCTCAGAAATGGCTGCTCGGGCAATGAGCCAGCAAAATTGGGCACTCTGGTGAGAAAAATAAATTCTATCGTTGCAAGCGTAGTGGAGGAGCTGCACGCTAACTTGACAAATTTAGAAGGGGAAAATGTTTAAATTGTGGACAAAGGTTGCGGTGACCCACCTGGGCTGTAATTACCAATTGGCTCGGCTTGGAATTATCTGTCGTCTGCTCAGACATTTCTTCTCGATTGCTCGTGGCTGTCGGGCCGTGTAATTTACCGTCATACAATTAGTGACGATGTATGCCATTTCACATTTTTAAAATGAATGTTTACTTTGCGATCATTTATCAAGCACCTACACACTTGTTGCTAGGAAACCCATGCTCACCATTTCCATTTGATTTTGCCACGTTTCATCCACCTTGCGCTGGCAACAGGAATATTTACTTCCCTCCATCTTAGTTACTAAGCACACATCACAAATAGCCACGCGAAGAGGAGGCAGCAGTGAATTAGAATCTCTGCAGTGTTTGTGAAAGGTGAGAAGCAGCCAATGTTAGCTGTGCTCGGGAAGAGAAACAGCCACAGGAAACCTATTTGGTTTTCAACTCTTCACGACCACGCAGTCCCATGGTAGTGAGATGGAACGTTATAATGTCGCAGGCTCAACATTTTTTAACGTGTTTACTTGCACTTATATGAACTCTCAGTCAGAATATTGCGAGTTCAACTCTCATTCGTGGATCAACTTGGCATTTATTTTTTGCAGTTTGTGGTCATTCAACAGTGAATGGCCTCTGCCATGGGAGTGTGGAATGTCCACCACTGGCTCAGGGCTAGTGATGGAGACAAGTGCTGCCCCATTGCAGGCAAAACCGACTAATGCTGAATCTGTTTTCATTTCCCGGGTGTGCCGTAGTAAATTGGCGTGCGGAGTTGACCCTCTAGCGATTGAATGAGTTGTCATGACTCCGGGCCATGATTCAGTTCCAGACTTGATTATTTAATTTCACACTGATTTATTTGTATCACATATTGTTGTTTCTGTCTCATTTGTACAGTCTGGGTCACACCATTAGCCTCAGTATAACATAATCCGACACTGTACATAAATCATAAATATACATTTCTCACATGCACAGTTTGATGCAGGTATCACAAGCATATGCATGGAGCTGGCCAAACATCTCTATAGGAACACAGAGCTTCTGTAGTTATTGGTGCCGGTTGTGGCTGCCTTCTCACCTCTTGGCTTCCTGCACCTCTGCGGAAATTGTGGACATTACAAGTTCTACAGCATTCTGAGATGCGACTTGCGTGAATGCCGCTGCACAGAAATCATTGTATTATGAAAATACATTTTTATTCCTACTCGTGAATGCTGTAAACACCCATGTATACATGAATATATTTATTTAAAAACCGTTGCCAAGCACAGGTCCAAAGACCCAAAATGCCAAGTGTCCAGCAACAAACAGCACTCATCAAAATTGTACTGGATAACAGTTTTAACACGTTACTTGAGTTGAGCAAGGTTATCATTATCATACATGCTTGGAAAAAGAGAAGGTGGGAGGGAATTCTAAAGTGGAGTAGCGTGAAGACGCAGGATGAGAACTGTTGTTGTGATCTGCAGCGTGGTGGTGGTGGTTGGAATGCTGTACGTGTTCCGCAACCCAACAACTACAGTACAGGTACTACTACTCCAAAGTGATGCAGGAGGAGGTGGTACCGCTGCCCGGCCTTCTGTCAGTGGCTCAGGCCTGCTCCCGGGCAGCATGGCAGCTGTGCGGTGGGAGCTGTAGCGTGGCCTTGCGCGGTGGTGAGTGACGGACCCAGTGGGAGAAGAGTTAACTTTAGCCTCTGGAACAGCCCCACTCTCAGTCCTAATCCTCTTGCCAAAATGTCGTTGCGTGTCCTAGGCAGAGGGAAAGTAGATGTGGTGGGGTGTGGTGGCTTGTCTCCTGCTGGCGCTTGTGCCCGCTGTGCCACCCGGGCTCACTCGCAAGCGCCCGCGTGGACTGCACACCCCGCCAGTTGCTTGAAACCTCCTGCTGTGTTTTTAACGGTGTTTGTCAGCCCATAACATTGCAGTGGTTTTCTACCTTTGTGAAATATTAGTTGTACTTAACAAATACAAAAATACATGGTGTTTAATTGGTGTACGCTTATACTGTATCATTCATGAAGGTTCGATGCAAACTGACTTTTAGGTAGACAGATGCATATGAAACATCACTCTTCTTCCGTCATTTTTGCGGGCATATTAACCATGAAACTACTTGAATATCTTTTTTCGATTTAAAGCTTTCGTGACTGCAGGGATTCATCTTCTTAGTTCTTTTGGTAAAGTCACGTAGAAGGGAAGTAATAAAATAATAAAACAAAACATATATTATGTTTTATTTTTATTATTTTATTACTTCCCTTCTACTTGAATATCACCTGACGTTATTCACAAGAGCAGGCCATTGGGTGTCGGCCTCATGATCAAAACTCGTCAAAATTCTAAAACATTACCTTGTGCCGCACAGGGACAGCTTCCTGCTAGGGGTGCCTTTAGAATGTTTAAATGAGATGTGTTGCAAGGCGCTTTATTTTACCCAGGAATATAAGCAATGCCATATAAGTGAAGTTGATTCTTATTATTGTAGCAATGAATGGAGTCTCTGGTATTAATAAATACCAGGCCTTAATCTCTCCACCTCTCTCCATCACGGATCAGCTTCGCATAACTCTATTTTCAAAGCCGTTTGGATTTGCTGTAATTCTGTGGACGTATTGTCTTAGTTTGCATTAGGCATACAGTTTCAGTGTGAAATTTGAGACCTATCATGTTACTTTGTAATAACAACGACGATTTTCTGCATGCCACAAGAATATGTTGCCAGCAGATGAATGGCTGTTTGAATATCACAGTATTAATTCAGAAGCTCCATCACGATTTCAATTGCTGAAACCTTGTGGTTTGGTATTTAACCAT